TTGTCCCCCCCACACTGCACGAAAAAAGTCGACCCCAGAATTTCGATTTCCAGCCGTCGAACTAGCGGGTAAGTGTAGCCAAGGCACGCGTCTTAAAAAAAGTTAGGTTTTTTTGCCCCCACTACTCCCCTTGGAAGGCTGTTCCAGAACTTCACTTCTCTGGTGGTTAGGAACCTTCATCTAATTTCAAGTCTAAACTTACTGATAGCCTGTTTGAATCCATTTGTTCTTGTGCCAACATTAGGGCTTAACTTAAATAACTCTTCTCCCTCCCTAGTGTTTATCCTTCTGATGTATTTATAGAATCATAGAAGATTAGCATTGGAGGAGACCTCAGAAGGTCATCTAGTCCAACCCCCTGCTCAACAGAACCCCAACTAAATCATCCCAGCCAGGGCTCTGTCAAGCCAGGCCTTAAAAACCTCTAAGGATGGAGATTCCACCACCTCCCTAGGTAACCCATTCCAGTGCTTCATCACCCTCCTAGTGGGCCTGCACAGACAGAAAGCCAATCAGGGAAGGCCTTATAGGGAGCCAATCAGGGCCCAGATTGGAGGGAGCCAATCAGGGCCAGGCTCAGCCCTATAAGAAGGCTGCTCAGGACAGGAGCAGGCAGTCTGTCTCAGGCCTTTGAGAGGGGAAGGTCTGTCTCCAGGCTGGGAGACTAGCACCCGGGACAGCAGAGGGTAACTCCAGCCTGGAGTCTGTCAGGCTGCAGGCCCTGAAGGGAAGAGCCTAGCCGGTGCTAGGGGCCGAAGGGGAAGCGGTCCAGGGATGTGGACAGATGGAGGGAGAGAAGGAGGGTAGGATGGCTGCCACTAGAGGGTCCCTGGGTTGGGACCCAGAATAGTGAGCAGGCTTGGGTCCCCTCCTTTCCGCCTTGCACCTGGCCGACGGAGCAGCCATCTAGAGCTGCACCAAACCCCTGCCAAGAGGGGAGTAACTTTGAGGGTGCAGTTGGCCACATTGGCCAGGATGCAGAGAGGCAGCTGATTGATTTCCACCCCCACCCTCCCCGGAAGGGGGTGAGGGTGGACTAAGGGGCACTGCTGGAGGGCAGTGGCTCGAAGAGGATGCCGCGAGCTTGGGAGCAATGTGGGTCTGGACACGCCAAAAGGAGAGCGAGATGATGGACAGGACACCACCAGGAGGGGGCGCTCCACTGGACAGAGCTAATTCCCGAGACAACCAGTAGGAGGCGCCAGGTGGTGAGTCCCAACCCCGTCACAATCTGATAATAATTTCTCACTGTTATTCTCTCCACGAAGGGGAACTTGTACTGTTCAGAGTAGTTGGCATTATATTCTTCCAATCCTCTAGAGAGATTTGCTGGTTTATTTTTTCCCCACCTTTGTTCACTTTGTCAATATTACCTTGTATTTCTGTAGCAACGAGTGCATCTGGGGTTTGATATCCATACAGATATTTAAAGCATTATACATATTTAACTTGCTCAAGAGGAGAATGCCTGGGACAACGTATTTGCTCTTGACACTTAAGAAACTGCTAAAATAGCAGCTCTGAAAATACCAAATAGACTTGTTCAGTGATTCTTTCAACCTTCTCCATACTGTAAAAGGATGCCCTTTTATACACCCCTGGAAGCCCTCTCTCATGTAGCTGGGACTACCCCATCATCCATTTAGTAAATAAGGGAGGAGTAGGGTGGTTGCAAACCCCTGACACCTGTTTGTGACCTCCCAGCTGAGAACTCATGACTTAATGGACATAGAGAAGGAAAGTTATGTAGGAGAGGAAGGCAGGGTAATCTTGAGGTTAAGACACAGCACTGGGAGGAAGAAGATCAAAGTTCTTTCCCATGTTCTATCCCAGGCCTTTGTGTGACCATGGTCAAGCCTCTGTTTCCACATCAGTAAAATGGAAATAATTATATTTACTTACCTTTCTAACAGGGTTGTTGTGTTGTGAGGCTTAATTTGTTAATCTGTCAGGCACTTGGAGGTATGCAGATAGAAGTCCCTGTAGAACCACAAAGTATTTATTATTATACATCTACATTTTCTAATTTGTTTCATTTAATTTTCTGGCATGACTTTTGTCCCTCATGAGATTTTATGCTGCAGTATCTTCTTTTAAAATCTTTGTTGCGGTTTACTTATAAATATAAAAAAATACAAAAAGATACACCAAGATATATAATGAACCAATAACACATCCATAAGGTACAATATAAAAATAAAATAAAACTGTATAGGAAAACAGGGAATGAATTTAAAAATCCCAAAAGTAGGAATTTATTTGCACTACAGACAATATTAAGTTCTTTCATCTTTTCAACCTCTAGGGGGAACTGTGTTTTCAGCAAACCCTCCCCCAAGAAGAATTTTCTTAATCTAGAGCAGGCTTCAGAAACTGTTAATGTTAGCTGGAGCTTAATTTAGGAATAAAGCCTTCCAGAATAAAAAGCACAATTCACTGTAATGCTTTGAGTTGGAACAGTGATTCTAATCTTGATTTGTATGCATGCTATTCTGGGAGGAAAATACTGTTTCCATAATTACCTTAATCCTAAAGGGTGAGATTCCGAAATCCTCACTCTTATTGTAGCCAATGGACATTTTGCCTGACAAAAGATTCAGGACTGTATGAGTTGGTCCTATTAAAAACATGTATGTAGTTGAAAGAACTAATGTCTGCTCACTGGAAAAGAATTTTAGATTTACAACCCTGGAAAATGTTTGCAGCCGTACTGTATTTGTACTCGTGACAAGGTAGATGTAATGTGGATCAACAATAAATTGTTACACATAAGCTTTTGACTCCAAAAGATCCTTGTGCTCTAAGGGCCTGATCCAGAAATGTTTACTAAAGCCAGACTCCCACTAGTTTGAATGGCAGTGTTCATGTGCATAAGGGCTACAGGTTGGGGCCTAAATCCAAGTCTGTATCTATGTATGAAAATTGGCCTTCAAACCTTGTATTTTCCAGTCTTCTTTTTTATCACTTTTGTCCTGTATGCTGAGTAGTACCTTATTCCCTGAGGAGTAGTCAAAATGAATAAGGATGGCAGACATGTGATTTGTTTGCTTATCTTTTCCTTATTGACACAATTCATGCTAGTTGAAATAAGAGGGCTCTCAGACAAAATGCAGCACACACAAATGAAAGAGATACATTTTGAAGAAAAAATCGAAGCGATATTGCCAGGTGGCAGTATCCTAAACAGACATATAGGGTCAATGGAAAGCAGTGGCTGGAAAGGAAGGCAACATACAAAATGATCTTCAGTAGGGTGGATGTATCTGTAAACTTTAAAATCATTCTGAAACCAAATTAAGTAATCAAATAATATTTTAAATGCACATTTTTCAGGCACGTTACTTGTCTTTGAATTTCTACATCTTATTTTTGACTGATCTCCATTAGATAAATATTCCAGGAAAATATTCTGGTGAATTTTTGATTAGTTGATTAGTTTTGATTAGAAAGAAAATTATTTATTGGACCTTTTAAATTCTATTGCTTAGTTTAATTGCATTAAAAGCATGTGCAGTTTCCTCTTGGGTTTAATTCAGACTTCATGTGCTCTTAAAGATGAACAGCTGGGTTCCACTAGGAACCAAAGTCTCCAATTTAGACTCTGTATAGTAAAGGCAGCAACTATTTGTTTATATACATTGCCCTGACAGTGACCTCAACCCTGAGTTAAACAGACCCCTTCTGTAAGGTGAGAAGCAGTTCACTCACTCTACCAGTTCAACCTTGGGCCTCTCATTATAAGCATAAAATGTCAAACTGTGCAGGATTACTCTGTTTGTGCAGACGTGGACCACTGACCATTATGGAACATGCACAATCCACAGAGATTTCACAGTTGCAAGTGATGAATGCAGTTAGTCCCCCTCTCCATTCTATTTGTATCCTCCTTCACTGTATCATTTTTAACTCTTTTCAGTATTTAATGTTGAGAATAGTTTCTTCAGAAAACAATCATCCATTTTCAAGTGGCATTTCTGAAGTTATAGTTGCTTTGTTAGTAACACATATAAAAACAAGTGTTTTTTTCTTACCATGGGCAATAGCTAAGTAAATTAGTCAGAGTGGTGCCCAGACTATTTAACAAGTGAATTTTTCACACCAAAAGTGTTAAACACAATTCTCTGAATACAAGCTCTTTCCAATTAAATAATTGAAAAATGAGTTTTGTTTTGCTTTTAATTACACACATTTACTGGGGCACACAAAGTCTTCTGCAGAATTAAATTGTACTGGTTAAGCCCAGCCTGTAATGAGGGGCAGTGCAAAGCTGCTCTGTTCTAGGGGCCACACCAAGTGGCACAATGTCTCCCAGAGCTCCACAGTTGCATGGGGGGGGGGGGAGGAATGGGAGTGTTTAATATGCTACATACCTTTAAATGGGGTGACCAGATGTCCCGTTTTTAAAGGGACAGTCCCGTTTTGGGGGACTTTTTCTTATATAGGCACCTATTACCCTCCACCCCTGTCCCGTTATTTCACAGTTGCTATCTGCAAAAAGAAGAACAGGAGGACTTGTGGCACCTTAGAGACTAACAAATTTAAGTCCTCCTGTTCTTCTTTTTGCGGATACAGACTAACACGGCTGCTACTCTGAAACCTTTCAGTTGCTATCTGGTCACCCTACCTTTAAAGGAGGCAACATGCTTCTCACTTGCTGCCGACCAGCTCTGCTGGAGTTTGTGGGGCACAGCCAAAGTCCTACCTACTCCCTGGAAGTATCGTCTGGGCATCCCTGAGTGCTAGTGTTTCAATTATACCCCTCCCCATGAAGGCTGTGCAAAGGAGAAGAGTTTCTTACCCTCCCCCCCCCCCTCGCCACAGAACAGCCCGTGTTAATGTTGGGACAGATTCTGCTAGCTTTTCCCACATTGGTAGCCCACTGCTTTCCATGAGCCTGCCTGCGGAGTAAGTAGTATGAATCCCGCGCGTACACTGTCCATCACCCATTCTCAGGCTGAGTTGCACGTTACACCAGGAGTTGTTCCGTTCAGTGTCAACGGACATGCTCGTGCACTAAGGTACCACTCCGGCACACTCGGCGCAGGAACAACCCGCCAAGGAGACTACTGCTGGATTGTCTGGGATTCTGCGGGGGGACAGCTACTGTGTCCTCTCCCTTCCAGTTCCTATGCTGCTAATACTCGCACGCGCGCTTTCTTCCATTGCTGCAGAATAGCCGCACGGTGCTTTTGCCCAGAGGGGAGCTAGGAACCCTTCCCTTTCGCCAGCTTTCAGCAGGGGCAGCAGCATTAAAAGGGCGCCCCACCCGCTGTTGCATGAAAGGGCTATTTTAAGTAGGGGTTTTTTTGGGGGGGGGGGGATTCGTTCATTCGGAGGGCGGCTCCCAATCCTGCAAACCGGGCTTTTAAAACACGCTCGGTGTCTTGCACGGCCGCAGGTCGCTCCGCATCCAGAGTTACAGTATTACGTGTTACTCGCTGCATCCCCAGCTCCTGACTTTAAACGGGTCTTTTGCACGCCGTGTTGGGACACGTGCACGGTGAAGAAAAAAAGAACGATCGCATGGAGGGGATTTTCAAAGTCCGGATTGCACGGGTGAGTGCGACTTCTCAGGCAAGCAACAGCCGAGCGGGGTCCTTTTATTTCCTACCCACCTCTCCCCTTGCTCCAGGTTTGCAGCGCCCTTTGCAGCCATTGCTCATCAGAGCGCCCCTGGGCGAGATGTGGGTTGGTTACAGAAAGAGGGGCGGTGGGGTGGGGGGGCCGGGATTTTGTTTGAGGGGGAGGGGGCGGAGGGGCGGATCAGCCCGGCAGGAATGTTAATGAACGACTCCTCCCCAAACACAAACCCGGCCTCGCAGCGCCATGTGTGGCAACAGGCGCGTTGGCTCCCACACTATTTAAACAGAGGGCTATAGACCAGCGAGGATCAATAAGATCAGCCAGGAGGCAGAGCGTGGGGGAGGAAGATGCCCCACCAATAACAAGTTGCTGGGACAGTTAGTTAACCTGCCAAACACCCTTAAAAATCAGCCACCCAACAACCGAGGGAAAACCAGCAGCTCCCTCTTACCCCACGGGCTAGTGATCTCTGTATTAAAGTGTGCAGGGGGAGGAGGTTGGTAGCACTCTCTTGTTCTGTGCAGGGCACACAGGGGGACTCGGAGGCAGCGGCGAGAGGGGGGAGGGAGCTCACGGCTATTGAAACAATGCCATCCTTCTTCTTACTTAGCGTCCCCTGCATCCTGATGGCTTGGATGCTCCTGGCAAGCAGCAGCAGCAGCCCCGACGAGGAGAAGCTGATCAGGGTCCTGGTGCTGCTGCCCAAGGACAACTCCTACCTGTTCTCCCTGGCCAGGGTCAAGCCAGCCATCGAGTACGCCGTGCGGAGCCAGCAGGAGAACGGGACCTGCCTGCCGGGCTACCGCTTCGAGGTCATCTACGAGGACTCCGAGTGCGGCAACCGGGCGCTCTTCAGCTTGGTGGACCTGGTGGCCCTGAAGCAGCAGAAACCGGACCTGCTGCTGGGGCCCGTCTGCGAGTACGCGGCTGCCCCGGTGGCCCGGCTGGCCTCCCACTGGAACCTGCCCATGATCTCGGCTGGGGCGCTGGCCACCGGCTTCAGCACCAAGACGGGCGAGTACTCGCACCTGACCCGGGTCTCGCCCGCCTACTCCAAGATGGGCGAGATGTTCCTGGCCCTGTTCCGGCACCACAAGTGGAGCAGGGCCACGCTGCTCTACAGCGACAACAACCAGGAGCGCAACTGCTACTTCACCATGGAGGGGGTGCATGTGGTCTTCCAGGAGGAGGCGTTCCCCATGGCCGTGCACAGCTTCGACGAAAGCGGCCGCTACTTGGACCTGGACGAGATCGTGCGCTCCATCCAGGCCGGGGAGCGAGGTGAGTGAGCCGGGGCAGCACGGGCACCCGCAGGGGCAAATCCCTCCTCCCCCTTACCCCGATCACACCCCGCCAACCCCACTGGAGCAGGACACCCGCCCGAACCTCCCTTGCCCCCTGGCTGGAGCATCCCGCCCCAGCTAGGGCTGTAGCCCGGCTGCGCCCCTCTGCGTTCATCGCCACCCTCCAGTGCCTCCGGGTAGAGCTTTGTCCAAACCAGCCCCCCCAGTCTCCGCTGAAGGAGCCTTGGCCAAATCATCGCCCACCGGTGGAGTTTAGTTAAATCACCGCAGTCCCCTTCCAGCCCCCCATCCCCGCAACCATGCACCCGCCGTAAAAACCTGGCCCAAGCGCTCCCTGCCCAAAGCCCTGGGCCAGTCTCCTAGAAAGCGCCTCGTGGGTGGAGAAGCGTAGCGCAAAGCCCCCTCCTGTGGCCGTGCGGAGGAGCTGTGGCTTAGCTGCCGGTCCAGCCCCAGTTCGCCGCCGCCGCCCTGCAGCCCGCTCCGCCAGCGCCGAACGAGTGTGAGACGCTGTCAGGTCAGCGTCTGCAAAGCAGCACCTCGCACTGGTGCCAATGGCTACGCAAGGTAGCAGAGAATCAATCTCCCGGTGTCTAGTAGAGCAGATTTCCACGGGCAGTCAGTCCTTCCCATAGTGATCTGCAGAAATGGGGACCATAAGCCTCCCCCTTTAAAGCAAAGAGACAACATTGTTTTAAAGCTGGGGAACGTCTGATAAAGCCCTGTGTGCAGCTTGTGAAATGCGGGCACTGGGGGCGGGGGAGGGTCTTCAAATCCCCTTTGTGTGGAAAGTCATTGCAATAGGATGACTATGCCCTGATGCCACCGCGGTTTATGCCCACGTTGACTGCATGTAAACGGGAAACATTCAGGGGATTCCTAGCGTGCAAAACATGCCCAGAATTCAGTCCGTCCAGCCAGTGGTTTGTTGAACGCATTCACAGTCCCATTAAGTAACGCCGTCTCCCATATACGCTGTGCTCCTGAGTGCTCTCCAGCTTCCTTAGCTGGGAATGAGGGTGTGCAGCGAGCTGTATTTTTTCCGCCATGCAGTCGTTCTAGTGCTGTGCACCTGAACTGGGGGAGATGGAGGGCGTAGGTGCAACGTGTTGACAGAAGCAGCCGGCAGCTTGTCTGATCCGTAAGGCAGCTAGTGAGACATAGCCATTAATAGCTGCCTGCATTCACCTGGGGCGACACTGCTAATCTGTCTGAAAGTAAAGCAAACTCATCGCGGAAGTAACACGGTGAAATGTATGTGTGGTGGTAAAGCAGGTTTGCGTATCAAGGCTCGGAAGCAGAATGCTCCGAAATTCAAAGCAGTATGCGCAAGAAATGATGAATAAACAGGACTATGAAAATGCACAGGATGAGGTCAAACTTTGGTCCAGAATGACTCAACCCTGCAGGCATTACTTTGCTGTTTATCGCCTGTTGCAGCTAAATCCTCGAGTATCTTTTTTTCAGCTAGCTCTTTGCATGTTTTGCATGCTGCGTGCATTTTCTGTTTTAGAGAGGGTAGTAGTTATGTTTCCTCAGGTATATAATAGCAAACAACATGCCAGAGTTTTTTTTTCTAGCGCTTCCCCTAAAACGGGACACATTAAAAATGTGTTAGTTGTGCATAGAGATAAGTAAGAGATTTTCTAGGCAATTTTGTTGTGTATATTGTGCTGCAAATATTTCATGTTCTGTGCTTTCAAGTGGCCACTCACAGTATCGGCAGGGTAGATCTTTTGTGTCGTTTCCTGTTTTTATTCAGATCGGGAAGTTTTCTCCGTTCAGGTCTCACACTGATGGCTTTTAGGCTTTTAGTTCAGCACTGCGGTAGCTATCAAAGGAGCCAGTTATGCAAGTGGTGGGGGTGGGATATACACTGCAGAAGCTTTACACTGGCTCTGCTGTGTTACTCATTGCATATGTATGTCATCTGTTATGCAGAGACATCTCAAAGGGCAGATTTCACTGTTGGTCTGGGGCACTTAAAGACTCATTGACTAATTCTGATTATGGATCTCTCTCACGCACACAGAGAGATAGTATACCAAATAATCTAAATGCCAGAGTAAAAGAAACATGGAATGCTTGTGTGGTGGGTTTGAGTATGAAAATTACATGTGGTTTCTGAGTAACCTGCTTAGAACTTGTAGGGAATTCTCCCTGAAATAATTAATGTGGACTTATAGTTCCTTTAAGGTTATATTTAAAATATACTGAGTCTTGCACCTCCTTACACCAGGCTGAATTTGGCCCAGCATCTGAGCTGTATGGTATTTTGGCTGATCATACTCATTAGCAGGGATTAATGCAGATAAGGGTAGTTGAGACCCTGGAGGTACTGAGAGAGGGAGGACACTTGAAAGGGATAATATTTTGCCCAGCTGACTGTCACATGTTGAAAAGTTTGGGCATGATTCTGTTCCCAGTGAACCCGCTGACTTAGATGAGAGCAGGATCAGCGCCTTTGGGTGAAATCCTGGTTCTATTGAAATCCATTTGAATTTTGCCATTTACTTCAGCAGGGCTAGGATGTCACCCGTTTGTATTATGATGCTCTTTATTTATAGTAGAAATCTGATTTATTTCAACAAGCTGCATTGCTAGCAAGAGAGAAAACACATGCATCTGCCAAACCGCAGATTTTTGGATTGGACAGCAGACCTGTTGCTTATCCTGCAAGTTTTTGTTTTAGTGACTCTGCATATGTTCAAAGATTGAGCAAAGAAGTTTTCCTCTCATCCTGCTAAGTCTTACCATGGAGATTTCCTCCCCACTCCTTCCATTTAGAAGCCCCGTTGAGTATTGCATAAATAACAAACATTTTGTGGAAGCAGCTAGCAGGGGAACATGTGAATTCCTCACTCTTGCATGTGTGCAGTAATTTTGCCACCAACTGTTAGCAAAACAGGGAGATAAGTGGCTTGTAAAACGTCTTTAAAAAAATTACCCTTAGGCTGGATGAATTGATTATATATCATATAATAGCAAAAAGCGTGAAACATAATAGAACAACCCACCTATTTAGAATGCACTGGATTAATTGCAAACCTGAATTAATTACTTATTAATGTATTTATTTGGTACATAAGCATATTAAATGACATTTCCCTGCTACAGGCAATGCTAACCATGGAAATTTTTGTTAATTGCTTGTTGAAAAGAAAAACAACCAAAAAAAAGCAGAAACATGTCAAAATATTCCAAGCATGCACTGTGCATTAATTGATAGTGGATCAAGTTAAAGAAACTCCTTCCCTAAAACTGACTGGAGATTTAAATTTTAAAATATGCACTTAAAACTATTTTTGTAACTCCCAGTTAAATAGAATCCTATTGAGTGAGGTCTTTTTTTTTTTCTAAAACAGATACAAATCACGCTCCATATAACCCCAATGCAGTCACTACATGGTACATTTGTATTGATGCAGTGTATATGCTTTAGGACTTTGCATTGGTGATATAGTTACACTGGTGTGAATTTCCTGAACTCACAAGGCCTATGAGATAATTGGTACCAACTGATGGATTTTTAATCTCATTCAGGAGAGCACTTAAGCAAGTGCTAAAGTTGAACAGAGGAATTTAAGCACTAGTTTAAGTGATTTCCTGAATGAATAAGATGCAACAAATAACAGCTAGCCAAAATAGCCAAGCAGAGAAGCATTTTTAATGAACATAAGGTTTATGTCTCTGCTTTGTTTTCTTGATGATTAAAAGCATAATAATTCTATTTCAATAAGAAAAGTGTTAACCTGTAGCAAATGGAACTTGATTTCTTTTCTAATCTCTTCCTAATTTCATTATATATATATATATATATATATATATTATAGCCACATTTTATTTTAACAAAGGGAATGGCGTTCCCTTCCTTCAACTCATTTATCTTCAGTTTCATTCCTGTTTACAAGGGGAATTTCCATAATTTCTCAGAGGATTATACTTGCAATTGATCGTTGCTTAATTTTTCATATTTTTTTAATTAGAATGAGAGTGACAGTCACTGAAACCTTGATATAGATTCAAATTCTACTCATTTTACTCATGCAGATAGTCCCACTCACTTTCATAGCAATGGGGAAGGGATTTACTTCAATGGGGCTTATGCACATGTGTTAAGTTAAGAACCTGCTTATGTGGTCATTCATAAATGTCTGCATTAAAGAGTTAATGAATTTTAGTTTTCAGAATACACTTTTTACAATTATCACACTAAGGTAACATTTTGAAAATGTAGTTTGGAAACCAGAATTCCAGTTCCTGCAGCCTCCTGTATCGCACATCCGTAACAGCATGGAGCACACTCTCCTGGAGGGTGTGGGTGTTTCTGGACTGCCTCTACTGCATGGTGGCCATGTGTATGTAGCTCTCTGCACCTGGCACACCTGGCGAGCTGCACCAGCAGGATTGCCGTGCAGTGTTCAGTGACATTTCGGATCCCATCCATGTGGTAGCATTATCCCACGTGCCCTGGGTAGGATCAAGCCCTAATACAGAGGTACAATACATTTTAAAAGTTATACCATGGTTATGACCCTGCCAAATTCATGGCCCATTTTGGTCAATTTCACGGTCATGGGATTTAAAAAATCATAAATTTCATTATTTCAGCTATTTAAATCTGACATTTCAGTGTTGCTATTGTAGGGGTCCTGACCCAAAAAGGAGTTGGGGAGGGGGTCACAAGGCTATTGTAGAGGGGGATGCGGTACTGCTACCCTTACTTTTGCACTGCTGCTGGCGGCAGTGCTGCCTTCAGAGCTGGGCAGCTGGAGAGCAGCGGCTGCAGGCCAGGAGTCCAGCTCTGAATGCAGAACTGCCACCAGCAGCAGCGCAGAAGTAAGGATGGCCTGGTATGATATCGTCACCCTTACTTCTGCTTTGCTGCCTGCGCAGAGTCAGTCAGTAGCCGCCATTGTCCGGCTGCCCAGCTCTGAAAGTAGCAGCACAGAAGTAAGGGTGGCAATACCATACTATGCCATTCTTACTTTTGCTGGCGGTGGCTCTGCCTTCAAAGCTGGACTCCCAGCCTGCAGCCACCGCTCTTCAGCTGCCCAGCTCTGACGGCAGCATCACAGAAGTAAGGGTGGCAATACCGCAACCCCCCAAAAATAACCTTGTGACCCCCCCTGCAACTACTTTTTGGGTCAGGACCCCCAACTTGAAAAACACTGGTCTCCCCTGTGAAATCGGTAAAGTATAGGGTAAAAGCACACAAGACCAGATTTCACGGGGGGGGGGGAGACCAGATTTTATGGTCTGTGATGCGTTTTTCATGGCCATGAACTTGATAGGGCCAAATTTGGTAACCATGGTTGAGAAAGGAAGACGGCTTGGCAAATATGAATCTAAGCCTTTGAAAATGGTTCTTCCAAATCTTAATGTTACAAAAAAATTACCATGAAAAGTGAGTGTTTATTACAAAGATTGGCCTTTGTATTTTTAATGCTTTTCCAGATCTAGTCAACTGGCTAAAGCTTTCAATTCAGCAATAATTAGTTTAACAAAACTCAGCAATGCTGGCTGAGGTCCAGATCCTACAAACACTTTAGCACATGCTTAATTTAAGAATTTGAGTAATCCCATTAATTTCAGTAAGACTACTTGCGTCCATAGAGTTAAGCACTGTGTAAGTGCTCGCAGGATCAAAATACTAATACTGGAATTACTTTGATATGTATATTTTAAACTGAAGAACGTAGAAAGTATTCACCCACGAAAGCTTATGCTCAATACATCTGTTAGTCTTAAAGGTGCCACAGGACTCTGCTTTTTTATAAGAATTTAGTTATATTTTCTACTAATTTACAAATACAGACCAAATAAACATAGTTACATTTTTACTTAATTTATATTTTTAAAAGCTTGCAAAAAATGACACACACACACAACTTATCTTTGGATTTTATGGGTGTATTTCCTGTACACACCAAAAAAATGTAATCTTTGATATATTCCTGCTGTGCTAAAACCACATCCAAATAGTTAACATTTGTCCCCTCACATTCCTTTATCAGCTCTCAAACTACGACCTATCAACACATTTTAAAACCGAAATTTTTCCACTCTTCATTCCTGTTAGTCAAGGTCATAAACTGGTGCAGGGGGAATAACTTCAATTTCACTTACAGGATGGGGATTTTATAGTAGATGTGAATTATGAAGGCAAAAGTCAAGAGACGATTGGGAGGGCAATTAGAAAGTGTTTTAAAAGAAAAACAGCTCACCTTTCCAATTAGGAACAGTGTGCCAAATTCATTCCTGGTGTAAATCCAGAAAGAATTTGATCCCATAGGCTGTATTTGCTGATAATGATTCAGTAATTCCTATGCCAAAGTTTATATCCAACATGAGCTCCCCCCCCATGTAAGCGACTCAGTACTCATAAGTTATAGTTTGCTCTGGAAATTTTTATACTAACCGACTACAGACATTAAGACAGACCTGTCCCTGGTGGAACTTCTCTGAAGTGTATTGGGTTATGCCAGGGATGAATTTGGATCATTATGCCTATAATGGAATAAACCTAGAAAAGAGAGGGAAGAAGATGGATTGTGTGAGTAAAGATTTAGCTTGCTTGCAACTTTATTTTATGTGAGCACAAGCACTTGACAAGAAAAACTGAATATGATTTTGATTGAGCTTTATTGTGTGGATGAAAATAGCTGCTTCCATTGTTGTAGCTTTATCATGGCATGGCAGTACTTCTTGAGAATATATGTTATGTTTCTTTTTAGTCAGCGCACTGACAACTTTTATTTTGATTTTTATGATCAAATCTCATGGACCAGGCCATTAAACAAGCATATTTGTATCACACCAGACCGCCTTCTGTGCTTGCTGCATGTGTCATCCTAGGAATGGGAACAGAATGCTCTGCCTGGACACAGACCTGCACATATTTAATAGTTTAGCTAGTTTCACGTGTATTGTGAAGTTATATAGCAGTTTGTGATATAGACTGTTTACTATGAGAGAAGTACACCTCTTGATGAAGGGGGAGAGGGAAACAGGTGATGTTGCCTTCCATGCCTTGTATGCTGGGGAACTGAACTATGTGCTAGCATCATTAAGCTAGTACAGAGGGAAAAACAGGGATTAGATCCATGCTTACACAGATCAAGTGCCTAGGGAAAAAAAAGGCAGCATGATGGAACAGCAACTATGTTCCTATAGGCAGGAATAGCAGCTGCAACCCATTAGTGGCAGGTTGGGAAGTAGATTCTATCCCTGCAGTTTCCACTTAGCTCCCTGCACAAAGCCTCTTTACTCAAGTTATTGAGCGGGAAGGGGTGAATTTCACCACATGCACAAAACAGACTAGTAACATGCCCTGGGAGTTTTTGACCAGACTTCTCTCTCAAGCTTATTGAGCCATCCAGTATCTTGTCCTTCTGTAAATCACTGGCACCAATTCTGACATATGGTAACAACAGTAGATTTCCACTGTAACCCCCTCCTCTCCAGCATACTGTACAAACCAGAATGCCAAGTGCTCAGCTGCATCTCCGTATTTAGAATTTTGAAGTAATGTAAACGTTGCCTGGATATTACCTCTTGGATGACAGCATAGCTCTGATCTTCTAATCTGCTAGCATGGATGGAGTACCGCTGAATAATAGCGGATCACATTTTAGGATCCGAACTTTTATCTGTCTTTTGGATCATTTGATAAGTGAGACCTTGAGTCTTTTAACACTGTAACTGTTTTCAAGGTATTCAAAATGAAATTCTGAATGATAAAATGATAAAATTAGGTCTTAATTTTGGAATAATTTCATATTCACTTGCAATAAGGCAGCTGATAGAGCTCTGAACTGGGAGTCAGGAGACCTGGGTTCTTCTGGCTCTGCCACTGACCTGTGGGTGACCTTGGGCAAGTTACTTCTCCAGCTGTGCCTCCATTTCCCAATCCATAAAATGGAGATGATACTCCTTTGTATAGTGCTTGAAGATCTATTGATGAAAAGTGCTATATAAGAGTTAGGTGTTGTTGTTGTAATAAAAATTAAATGCACAATTAAACAAACCAACAAAAACCTCACCACATTACATGAATCAAGAATAAGATCGTATTTGGGCATAATTCTTTGCCCACTGAAGTCAATAGGATTTTTGGCATTGACTTCAGTGGGTAAAGGATTGGCCTTTGGTATTTGTATCCCCCTGTCTCATTTAGGCTCCTTTGGAAACCCCAGATTTAATTGTTAGCCCTGTTCCCATGATTTTTAAAATGTTGGGAGGACAGTTCAGGTCACTGTCTCTGGCAATAGACAAGCTTCATAATCTGTTCCCAGAGGTTTCAAGAACAGCTTCTTATCTCTGTTTTCCATTTTCTTCCACAGTTGTAATAATGTGTGCCAGCGGTGACACAATAAGGAACATCATGCTAGCTGCTCATCGACAAGGAATGACCAATGGGGACTACGCTTTCTTCAATATTGAACTCTTCAACAGCTCGTCATATGGTAATGTTATTCCCCACCCCTGCAGTATGTTGCGAAACTTTCTGTAAACATGATAACATTTTTAGATTTGTTAGTCTTAAAATATACCACTATTAGTCTTAAAATACACCACTATCTCTCCCTGGCCCTGAGGTTACCCGCCACTTGAATTATGATATTAGCGAGAAGGAAACCAGAAACTCTGGATTTAACTACTTCTGGACTGATCTGTGTGAAGAAGCTATGTGACTAAATGAGAGTTCTAATATAGAAATTCCCTTACATTGTGGGAAAACTGCTTCAACAAAGACCTTTGTTATACCAGCCAGTTCTCACTACCTTCTATTCTATTGTGTGTTCTAATTCACAGTAGGTTGCTCTAAATCCCAGTCTTGTGATTGCAAGTCTTGGGCCTGGAATAGTCCAACCCCTGTTGTGGGCTAGACTGCACATGACTGACTGGGAGGTAGGCAGCAGTGACACAGTGAATCCCAGCACAGAGAGTCATTGTTAAGGTAGTGAGGGGTTGCCTAGATCACCAGCCAGAATCTTAACGCCCTGGGGTGAAATCCTAGTCCCACTGAAGTCAGTGGGAGTTTTGCAGATTTGTACACCTGCCAGTGGCTGGAAAAACTTGATCTAATATGTGCTCCAGTTTTTGATGGCATGTAATTCCTGCAGAGACACGCTGCTATATTTAGCCTTGTATCACCTGGTGCACAAAAGCACAGTCATGTTCACCCCAGTATAATATACATGTGATGTACTTATACTTTTGAATTGGTTCAGCTTTCTGTGCCCCACACATCCATATACTAAGTTTTCCTTAGGAGTTAAGGTAAATATTTCACAAAGGACTCAGCACCACAACCCCAGAGTTAAGGGAGCACTGTCTATCCGACTCCTTGGCAACTGACCAGTTTAAATAGCATTTCCTGAATATTTTTTGTAAATAATTCTTAGGGGAAAAAAACATTAGAAGGATCTTCTGCTCTTCTTTTTTAAGAAGGGGCAAACTAACTCTGAAGAGAAATCTACAAAACTGACTGTACACAAATTGTTGTCAAATGCATAAGGTAAACAAACTGAACACAGAATGTCAAACCTCCTCTTACAGTTCTAATAAACTTTTTCTTGCATCTGAAGAAGTGAGGTTCTTACCCACGAAAGCTTATGCTCCCAGTACTTCTGTTAGTCTCAAAGGTGCCACAGGACCCTCTGTTGCAATAAATTTTGTGTTTTTGGAAGTCTAAAGGTACAGAACCATAAGACAGAATATGATTTACAAGTAGCTATTGTTCCTATAAGATCACACAATCACACTTCTTTTTTGTTGTCCTTAAAGTTTTTTATTTTAATTTGTAAAAAGGCACATTAATTATTGAGGCTGCAACAGTTGCGCTGCTTCATCAGAAAGTCATTTTAGTGCTGCTCCCAGACTCCATGCCCAAAGCAATCTTTGAAAGAATTTGAAAGTGTGTACAATTACTTTAGAAGCTCTGTTGTTTAAAGGTAGCTTCTCTGTTTCCATTTACAACAGCTTTTCAAGTGAGCATGTTTAGGTCAGACTGAAGTACAGAAGCTTGTTCACATTTAGGCCCAATATTACCTGAAACCCAGCTGTCTCTGGGAAAGCCAAGATCCAAAATGTGGCATATATGTGGGATTGGGGAACTATGCTGCTTAGAGCATGGCTTAATAATGTTTTGTGGCTGCCAGCTGTTGTCATGCACTTTTCAGAGATCTTCTATGTGGACCTCCTGGTAGAACAAAGCTTTTGTGCTTGATTGGGTTACAATCTAGAATTGTGATAGCTGGCTGTAACAGTAGCTGAGAACCTCATGAGGAGATGAGACAAAAAATTGATTGAAAAAGAGAAGATAGATGGTCAGTAAAAATTAAAGAATTAAAGGGTCATTTATGAATTTTGCTAAGATCATAATCCACAAGGGCTATAGAGATGCAGCACCTTCACAGCTTTGGTAAACAAACAACAAAGTCCCAAGCACAGAGGCCTTCCTCTGGGAAAGGAGAGAATGGAAGGGAGCTACCATTTGACCTGGATCTCACTGAGGGCTAGACTGTGGCTTTGCCACAGGTTCTGTGTATGGAGTGGCAAGCAGCTGCAGTATCCCGGGAGCAGCACACTGAAAGAAATGTGCTTCTCACAGGCCCTGTTCCTTCACTGGTTCCCTCATGCTCAGTCAGGAGGAGGTGAGTAACTTGAAATTGGCCTGTACTTCCAGCAAATTATGACATCTCCCCAGTGGCTCTGCTGCCATCACAACACACTGAGGAACAGAGGAGGTGAAATACAGGCTTCTCCCACTTTTCACCCACCTGCATGCCTGGATCCAGGGTCCGTGTAACCCACTCATGGCCATAAGATCTTTATCCCTCATCCATCCCTGTGCAAGCACATAGTCCCAAGTCAAGGCGGATAGAATGTTTGATACTTGGCTGCTGCCATCTCTGGCATTCACTCTATCTCATCCATCTCCATTCCCTTCCCTTGGTCTCAGCTGACCTGTTTTCTGCCTGTCTATAAATCAACAAATTCCTTTAACCAGGCTGAATGACCACATCCTCCCTCATCTCAGGGTCCTGCGTGTCTCCGGATTCCAAACCTCAACAGCTACTTGTGTTCTGCAGTTTTAGTCTTTGTACTTTTAGTCACAACTGGCTTTTAGTTCCAAAAATAAAATGACTGTTTTTTTAATTATTTTTAAGCATTTAAAAGCAAGCTGTCTAAGGACACTGTTATTCCCTCGAGGCCTCATTATTGATCAGTTCCATAGAACAGTCTTAGCACCTGATTCAAGGCACTAGGAGTCTTCCCACTGACCTCAGTGGGGTTTGAATCAGGTCCTTTGGCCTCAGCCAACGCACAAGAAGTACTCAGGACATGACAGGATCAGGGCCAGGAAGGCAAAGGCATTTAAACAAATAGGCTGCAACTGAATTTAAAAATCTTTGATTACTGTATTCGTTTCCCAAGTCCAGTCTCCCACCTGCTGTGTCATTGGGCAAATGCAAGTACAATGTGTGCAATGGCACATTTGTAGTTGGGTGTTTGTTTTTCTGCTAAGAGAAACTGGGCCTATCGTGCAGCTAGTGTGCACATGGCATTCCCATTGATTTCAGTGGGAGAGCTGGGTGACAAGTGGCTACAAGATCAGGCCCTGTGTGATATCATCATTCCAGGTAATTACTTTACTCTTCTTACTCTACTTAGACCTGACTTTGCTCGAAGTTTAAAAGGGAGTCAGTGGCACATTGACTGGGAACTGAATCCAGTTCCGTCTCCCTCTCACCTGTTGTAGCCCCTAGACAGCCTGCTTCTCTGTATTTGAGGATGTTATTTGCTCATATCTAGACTTGACTTCAGATGTTAAAAATAAGCAAATATGGGAAGAAAACCTTATTGCTGACCATTCTGCTAGGCTGGGCTTCTGACTAAGGATCATAATCTGTATAATTATTTCAAGGGCATTATGCCAGTCCCCCTTGCATCTTGTTCCCCTAGTTTCAAGAGGCATGTTGAATTCTCTTACATTAGCCTCACAGCACGTATTGCACAAACGTGACAATATCTTGTACATTGCTGTCTACCCCAAGCAACGTATAGGGGATATTTAAGCAGAAAGGGAGAGCGAGCCCTTTATGCAAACTAGCCTGGAATTGTAAATATTTTTATTTCTCCCTTAGGAAATGGCTCGTGGAAGAGAGGAGACAAACATGACCTTGAGGCAAAGCAAGCCTACTCATCCCTCCAAACAGTCACTCTACTGAGGACAGTGAAACCTGAGTTTGAGAGGTTTTCCATGGAAGTGAAAAGTTCTGTTCAGAAACAAGGTCTGAACGAGGATGATTACGTAAGTACTTGATTATGAGCCTAGAGCTTTTAGCATCCTCAAAAACAGGCTCCTGATTAAATCAAAGGTGACAAAGTGTCCTATTCTGAATCCGTCAATAACACCTAGGTTCAGTTGTGAAACTCACTGTTACTTTGTGAACTCTCTCTGGTAAGATGTTTTTTCTCCCTGGCTAAAGGAAATTGCTCTTTATGTTTTGTCCACAGTCATCAGGGAGTACACAGTGGGAGGGGCAGGAGAAACAAGGGCTCCACACGTCTCTAGCACTTCCATCGTTCATCACACTCCTTTTATTGATAAAATATTGTTTTGTTCTTGATTTCTGTATTCTCTGTCTCATTCCAGCTCTCCCTTATGCTTTTTCATTCTAGGAAAATGGGGTCTAAGTAGGTTGTGCACTCTTGTTGTATCTGGTAAATTGAACTTTTCTTATCCTTAAGGGGAGTTGTGCCCTACTTCCCAGCTTACCATGCTAAAATTGTCTGTGTGGTTTTAACCATCCAAATACCCACTGGAGGTATTCCACAAATCCTGTCAAGTATTTTAAACCTGGAAGTACCACAGTGCTTCAAAGAGGGAAGTAAAATACTATATTTCTTGTAACCGTTCACCTCTAGAGGAAGATGCTTCTGGGAATTAGTATAGCGTATCAGAAACACTGAAAGGATAGTGCTCTAAGATCATTCCTAGATGTGTCTTCTTTGAGATGAAGATAAGAGGGAGCTCACAGCACAATAAATGCACAGTTGCCTGCATGCTGGTGCAGGTACTTGGCTCCCTGTGAAGGGGGAACTTTCCATGGCCACTAAAAAATCCCTAATGTGGCTAGAAGAGAATGAGACCACATGAGAGCTGAAGCTGATATGGCTCCAGGGGAACATGGTGAGAATGTCAATCCATTGCAGCAACAGGGCCGTGCAAGAACTTTCCCACCATTGCTACTACTGGAACTAAAATTACCACATTTATACTGGAGACCAGTGAAATTGCTAAAGTCAGGAAAAGCTACTTGTTTGGTACATTCATACACTATTATGTTTTTATATTGTTTAAAGGATTGGCATTAATTGACTTTTATAAAATAAAGGAAAGCAGAAACAGTAAATATATATTGCTTGAAACTGAGACTATGAGCAGAAACATAAGGTCTAAAACAAAAGCTATGCTAATGTGCATGCTGAGTTAACAAACAGGAGGTCTTTCCTGCAAGGTATTGTACAATATCAGTTGTTTGCAGAAAATCTGCACTCAACCAACCATAGAACAGCTCTCTTTGAAAATCTATCACCTATTTATGGTTTTAGGTACTGGGGAGGGTTATTTGGAATGAAAAGCTTTTTTGATATAGTTACCCAGGAGACTTTACAGTCACAGTTTGGGTCATAATTCCAGTCACCAGCAAGCATGCAAATCAGATTGAAACATGCAAATCCAGATTGAATCCTGGAAAGCCTGGTTCACACCTTACTGCTACAATGAAACAGAAAGCATGACTGAGTTCAAATAGTGCTCCAACAAAGGGCACAGGAGGCCCATTCAGATTTGCACATCTTTTTGTGGATGAAGTTATGACAGCACAACTCCCATAGGACATGGGGATAATGATGCCTTCCAAGGAACTTTGAGATCTGTTAAGGAGAGTGACAAACCCTGATTCCCACCAACTGGAACTGAAGACTTGCCCAGGTAGTCCCACCAGTCAAGAGCAGCCAGGCTAATGTTCAGAAAGCAAGAGCAGCCAAATGGCTAGGAGAGCCAATGAAGCCAGGAGCACGAATGTTATCTATCCAGCTCACAGGCGGAGGTGGGTGAATTAGGGAGGACAGTTTGGAGTAAGAAGGAGAGGCACTCTGTGGTTCTGTAGGACATGGAGCCCGCTTCAAAGATATGTTTGGAGGACCATGTGTGTATCAATTCAGTGTTGTGTTAAACACCTGGCTAGAATTACATTGCCAACAAAATATGAGTCCCATTATAATGTGCAGAATTAGCACAATGCATGTGAGAGATCAGCAAGCTCCCTCATGCTGGCAAACAGATGAGTTTTTTGTTGGCTAATTTATTCTCCAAATAGGAGATTCCCTGTAAATACACCCATGTTGCCAACTTTCTTTGTTCACTTTTATCAGACCTAGCTGCTTGAGCAGTCAGATCTCAGTGTTGATAACATTCATTAGTCGCTCTCCACAGTACAGAGTCAGGTGACCCCAAAGCTCTCTTATATTTTGCTCAGAAGGGGCTCAGAGCTACAGGGAAAAGGGGTGGGCTTCAAACACAAGTTCAATGTGTACTGAAATTGTACTATTACTTACTGTGCTATACTAATCTACTCAAAAACCTTCCCACATCAGTTTATCCTCATGATTTTTTTAAAAAATAAACAATTTTAAAGGGACGCTACCAGGTTAAATATCATTGTGTCACTAATATCCAAGAGCATTAAAAAATGAACAGTTTTTAGTCTAATTTACTACCATTTGTGATACTATTTATTTTTTGCAGTCACTCAGCGTGGGCAATGAAAACAGACTAGTCAATTCCCCCTATTTGATTCTCATGCACCAGCACACTACAGCAATGACTGGGTTGCAGACACCACAGTCACAGACACTGCAATCAGTTGCAGACACTGTTACAATCCAAGCAATTTTTTAAAAATGTAAATTAAGAAAAGTAACATTTTGTAAAATTGTGAAAGAAGAAAAAGCAAAACAAAAACTAAGGGCCTCAGGGCCCAGCCCTCTTCCTACCTGCATGGAAGGGAAAGGGGATGCCAGCTTCACTGTATGCTGGCCCTTGCTACTCCAAGAGAGTTTCCCTCGGTGGAGGCTTCCCAGCATTCAGGCTCTGTCGACTGGGAGGAGGTGGGGATGTCTCCACTCTACTGGATTTTTCTACACATGAAACCTACTGGGGAAGGTGGGCATGTTACTGCAGGTAGAATATTGCCTGCAGTAGATTACAGGGGTGAGCAATGGGTGTTTGAGTGCAAGCCTCAGCTTCTTCTGCATATGGCAAACCATGTGTCCCAGTGTAAATATCCAGGGAAACTCTGAATTGTAAAACAGAGTTTCCACTTCTCTGTGCTGGGTTTTCCAGCGTATGGGAGAATGAAGCTCTAAATGGGTGACTTAATTTATCTGACAGTGACTCTGACAAAAAAAAAGAGATTCATTAATACAGCATCTTGTCCTGAACTCTTGCCATTGTAAACTCCAATGGCATTATTACACTACACAGAGCATAATAAAAATGGAGAAAACATAACAGCCGATAGAAAAACAGGGGGGGGCAAAGCACATAGCAGTTCTCAGATTGGTGGACATGTTTGTGGCCGGTCGAGAGCTAGCAGCTCACATGGCACTGTCCCTCCTTGTTTCCAGCTGGTACATTGCACAGAAAGAAGCTAAAAATACACAGAACCTTCCTGATGTTGCTTTTCCATGTAAGTAGTTGCTAAGTAGCATCCCTATAATCAAGAATGGTCCGTGCCAACCTGACTGTGCGGAGGTGTCCAGGAGACAATCTCGCTGTTAGGATGAAGTCCAAAAGGTTTGGGAATCCTTGTCCTGGATGAATTTCTTTAAGCAGTCTTTAACTGATCACTGGTGACAGTCAGAGAAGCAAGTGGTAGAGAGAGTTTTTAGGAAGGCACTAGACAATTGGTTCCCAAACTTTTTAATAAAGCAACCCGCCAGCTGCATTGTGTCTTTTATTTATTTATTTTTTTGACCGAAACCCCAGCAATACCATCCTAATTCCAGCCTGGTGCCGAGAGGAGGCTGTTGGAGAATGAGCCCACCCTGCACTCCTGTCCCGTGGGACTGGGCCTCGCTCCCCATTCTGGTGTTGGGGCCTGGTGCCTAGCTTCTATTTATCTACCTAAATAACAGAGATTCTTCCCCAAAAGCCCAGCACCCAACATGCTGCTTTTAGAAAATATGGCCACTTATTTTGGTGTCTAAATGGGAGCTGAGCTCTTCTGATAATCTGGTCTCCAACCTCAATCCTGCTACCCATTGCCAAACTCCAGTTGACTTCAGTGGGTGTAGGCTTAGCCCCTAGCGCAGGCTTAGCTCCTGTAGAAGTTTATCTGGAGTTGCTTGGGTATGGGCTATGGAATCAGGCCGTTAGTAGTTGAAACTTCTCAATAATCCATCTGGAATGGATAGTCAGAATTAGGGACAGTAAAGCAGCCTAACATTACTAGCTAAGATATTGCCTCTGTCATCCTCTGGGAGCTAAACAAGGTATCAGTCAGCTACTCACAACATGCTCTGAACACTTGTAGAGTGATTTGAGATGCTTGGATTAAAGGCATAACATAAGAGCTCTAAGATAAAGGTGCTAGAGACAGCAATGGGAATGGTTTATCTGATATCAGCATTTGCAACTGTCTCTGTATTGGGGTGAGAATAATTCCAGACAGACATGTTGGTTAAAAAAATGTTTATCAAGAAACAGTGTTTCAGTTAAAGTATATGCACAGTCCATTTTTTATTAAATAACACTAAGCACTTAATGCACTGGCTTAAGGCTTCAGTTTGAAACTTCTTAATACTACCTCTGTTCCTGACTTGGGGGCAGAATTCAGTAAATGCTGTTTTTATATCTAACCCAGTATTCTGAGCTGGGATGATTTTATAACTTTGGATATTTGCTCTTTTGAGGTTAGCAGGCCACCCATGGCTTGTTTTTTCTTCTTATTTAAAAGCTGAAAATTTAACTAATTAAATAAACATTCCAACTGTATTAACGGCACAGCAGCATTGTTTGTTGGGAAAGATGTGTGGAGTTTTTTCTTATCCACTGTCCTCTTCCCAACACTCACAATGAGCACCAGGAAAAGGAAATTGAAGTTCAATTTGCCTGCAAAGCTATCTCACCCAAAGAATGTGAACAAAGTCAAAGCTAAATACGTTATTTAGATCAGCTAGACACTACCTTTTAAAAAGCGACGATCTGTTATTTTTAAGGGTTTAAGTCTTCTAAATGAGAAATGGCCCAGAAGGGAAGCCTCTAAAGCAACTTTTAGGGCTTCACCAATTATCTACAAAAGCTATGTGGGAGGTAGCAGTAGTCATAAAGTTTATCACTTCATCCATAACATCCATGCCAGACTCTTCCCCCATGTGTATTGCCTTACATCATCCTTTAATTGGGATTGTACACGCACAAAGATTAGGGAGGGGGGAAGTAAGCAATTCAGTAAAGTCACTGAGAGAGACAGGAAAAATATAACATATTCAATGGTGTATGTCCCATTTGTCTTTCTCAGACCCAGCCAGGCAGGATAAATGCACAGGCAGGCTTTTGTGTCTCTTTTGACTGCATTAGAATAGGAAAGGGTTTGGAGGGAGGGGGGTTATGCCTCTGCCAGGGAATAATTTGTTCAAATGAATAGGTTTATTCAGCGCCTAGAGTGCTTTGCTAATTGTGTTTGAAAGAATAAAAGCAAATCTCATGTTGCTTTTAGTAGCAAGAAAAAAAGAGTTCACATGCCATCTTTTTAATAAGAAAATTAATTCTGTCAACGAAACATAATTAGGAATTTGGAGCCCAATTCTATGTCAATTGAAGTCAATGGGAGTTTTCCCACTGATTTTAATAGGAGCAAAGTTGGACTCCTGATTGCTAAGTTTTCTGGGTTTAGTAGCCACACCAGTTTTTTTAATTAAAGATATTGCCTTTACTGCTTCCCTAATCATGGGAAGGACTAATCTCTTGAGTATATTTGGTTCTTAAACAAAAAATACTGAATATTAGTAAGTTGATGAGTGCCAGAAAAGATAAGAAAAGACATGAATTAGTTTTCCCTCTTACTGTTGATGTCTGTTTAGTTTTTCTGCGGGAGCGGGGAGAGCAGAGAGTGTCTCAGGTTATTTTTTAAGTTGTTCAACTGAACCAGTTAGTACAAAATTTTAGTTATGACTTATAATAAGAACATTGGACTCACTGGAATGTACATGTTTAGCATTGCTAGTCTTATATACTTGTATATTTTCCATAGGTCTCCAGTCTTTTTACTTTGGTTTCACAGATAGTCACATTTCATTTTAGTAAACAGACATATGTATTTGCCTCTATGAAATATTAGAATGCAGGCAGGATATTCTTTCTTTAAAATACTCGCCAGATATATATTATATTCCACTAACAAGAAGTTAAGATGTTGAAACTTGCAGGACCTCTTAAAGGTCTTTGTGCATTATGCTTATTGCATTACGAAAGCTAATATTGGGCCGTATCCTGCTCCTATTTAAATTCACAGGAATATTGCCATTGATTTCAAAGGAGCGCAGGATTGGGCCTGTTCTCTTTGAACTAGAGCAGATCGAGCATGTATAGCTCATTTTGCACAAACTGACATTTAAAAAACCCCAGAGCATTCACTAACTGACTTTTCTAGAAGCCAGTAAGTACATCCACTACATTTCATAGTCCCAAAGTAACGTACGAAAAATAACATTCAACTGGAAGTTCTTTATTTAATGGCACAAATGTCTAAGCCCAGCAAAAATGAGGTCATTTGAACAAAAAGTCTTCGGGGATTTAGGTGATAAAGACCTCAGCAGCAGGAAATATGGTAGCAAATAGCAATCCAGTGCCAAAAAAAGAAGCACAAGGTGGCCGTTTGATCCCTTTTTTCCCCAGGATAGAAGTGCTTGTCTCAATGGGTATTCAGAGATGTTGCAGCCCTGGGGGCTCACATTCCAGCTACTGGAGAGGATTGCTTTTATGAGCAGAGCTGCAGTCAGCTATGTTGGACTAAGATTTCAGCATGAGAGAATTTACTGGAGTCAAATAGTTTGAGGTTGTTTTTTGTTTGTGTTTGTTTTTTTAGAGATGCAACAGAACATGTTCAGTTGCAAATTATGGCCTTGACCTTCAAATCTGCCCATGTGGGCAGACCTGAACACCCATGATGAGGCCCAAATAGAGACAAGAGGCTACCTGTGCTGAGCCTTTAGGCACTCTGGGCTAGATCCTCAGCTAGTAAAAAACCAGTGTCCACTGATTTCAGTGAAGCTAGACTAAATTACACCAGTTGAGGATCTGACTACCTGACAGAAAGGGGAGGGGAGGCTGCAGTGGGGTCAGCCACCTCCCATGCACCCCCTCCTGACATTGGGTCATATTGCAGGCAACCTACCTCAGTTTCCCCTTCAAGGGGCTTCTTGAACTCCACACAGGCTTTTCTCACCCATTCACCACCCTTTCTTGGGGGTCTGAGTTTAGTCACATAAATAAAGTTTCAAAATAAAACTCAAAGTTCCAAAACACAGCCCGTCAGTTTTACCCTCTGGTCAGGTCACTCCCAGGCTTTTCCTGCCCATAATCTCAGCAGGGAAACTCCACACCACTGGTCTTTCTGCTAGAGCCTGCTCACTCCCAGCAGTCTCCAACCCACTCAACTCCCCAAGCCTTCCTGCCTGGGAGCGTTTCCGACTTGGACAGGCTGCTCCCAGACCTGTCTGGTTGGAGCCTCAGGTTTCTGGCTTTGACTTCCCACTCCAAGCCCCTTGGTATCAATAGGGTAGTCATATTTAATGCTCCCAAAAAGAGGACACTGCTGGAGGGGGAGAAGGAGATGGAGGGGCGGGTACAGTTGGGAGGTACCTGCAGCAGAGGCACTGGAGTTCGGGGGCAGTGTCGCTCCCTGTCACTGCAGCTGGCACAAGCCCAGGATGCAGCGACAGCCATCAGTCAGCGACTCCCTGTGGGAACTTTTCCCAGGGAGGGGCCTGGGCAGGCACGATCCCGCAGTTGTGGCTTGCAGGGGAGGGACCAATTGAGAAGGGGACCAATCGGGGCTCTTTTTGAGCTGCCACTTATCTGCTCTGCAAAAACCTGGGACATTTCCTATTATTTGAAAAATCCCCCCCAGACAGAGAAAGGAACTCAAAAAAGAGGCCAATGTCTGGGAAAACCCAGTCATATAGTAACCCTATTCAGGGTCTTTCCTGATGAAGCCTTTCTCACTTCCTACAATGTCCTGAACTTCCACTTTCACTGTAGCAACCTGCTATCCTTTGTAGGGAATTACCTGATCCAATCCAGGGGTGCCTCTTCAGTAGTCCAGGTTGGCTATCCCTAAGCTCTGCAGCATTTAGAGGGCAAGCCATCTGTTACAGGGGCGTTCTAAGAATAAATAGATATTATTGGTCCTATCCTGTGTTTGTGATGTTATGCCACATGAACATTTTTATTTACCAAGCGCTGACTGGGTGCTCAGTGCAGTTGTACAAATCACAGAGAGAGATCCAGTCCCTATCTCAGAGTTTATAATGTAAGTCCTTGATTCTTCTAACACTTACATAAATAGTCCCGTTTAATTCAACAGAACTATTCACAGGTGTAAAGTTACTGACATGCAGGATTGGGACCTAAGTGAGCAGGTGGAACAATATAAACATAGCCAGCCCTGGGTGAAGAAGATTAACATAGAAGGATGCAGGCTTTGTTGTTGTTTTTTAATAGCTAGGTAACAAACCTACCGACTTAGGTGGGTTAACATGATTAGCTTGGTAGAAACAATATATTTTTAGGATGGATTGTGTGAATAAAGAGGATGAGAGTTCTTATGCATATGAGGAATGGAGGGAAGTCTAGGAATCCCAGTAGATCTCCCCCCTTGAACAGAATTAGAGTACTAATAACCTTGTAGGAGGAGTCCAAAAGTGAAACAAAAGGCTTAGTTCATTCCAAGAGGAAAACCTAACATATTAAGAGAGATTGATTGAAAAGACTGGGATTGTTTGCTTCAGAGAAGAAATGAATAAGACGGGGCATGAGAAGGACGTCCAAAACTATGAGATGGCTCAGACATTTCTATTCAGCCTTCCTCACAATACCAGAGCAAGGGGACAGTCAATGGAAGTAATAGGCAGAACATTCAAAACTGATAAAAGGAATTATTTCTTTCACCAAACTTTCAATTATCCAATTAGCCCATGGTGCTCATTGCCACAAGATACCATTGAGGCAAGAATTTAGCAGAATTCCAGAGAGGACTGGATAAATAAAACATATTGACTGGTATCCAGGAATTAAAAAAATAATTTTAAAGTATTTGAAAATGGAGACATAAATAACAGCAGCCTGAGGGTTTGCATTAGCTACCTGCCATCAGGTTTTGCAAGTAAGTATGCACATTTACTCTGGTATTTAATAAAAACCATTCACCATGGCAACGCCTGCATTAGGTGAGCTCTTCAGATGCAGAGAGCATTCTTAAAGCAACTCACATACCCATATAGCTAGAAAGTCTTAGAATAGCAGTGAGACTTGAACACATGCTGTAGTATTTTAAATAATCAAACCCAAGGCTTGTTAGGTTTTTCCCCCCTCTGCTGAAATGGTGAGAGTGGCCATACCCAGGACAAACCTCAGTACAATGAAATCTTCCAACTGACTAAATTTGCAGAGCATAATATGAAGCTAACTTTATTTTTTCATTATCATCATAGAGAATGGTACCCTCTCTATAGAATATTTTAAACAACCTATAGAAATCAATAGCAGGAAGTCTTAGACTGCACTGAAAACAAATTCTCTTCTGGGTAGCCTTTCTTAAGCTATGGTCTTTACACCTGGCTGTAAATTGGCTCTTGTCTTACCTTTGTGTGTCAGGTTTTGCCTAGCCACTTTCAGATGTCATCAGCCTGTACGGAACAAATGTCCTGTATTTATTTAAAGGCTTATCTTAGTAGAGTTGACTTCAGTATGAACATTCCTACGGCTCCCCAATAGTGATCTTTCTCCAAATTTGGAGGTTTTACTCATTCTAGTATGAGAAGTACTTAGAAACAACCCAAAAGGTATGTAAAAATCGAGTATTTCAAATGAGGTGGAGTGGTTTTGTGATAAAATCAGCAGTCCAGGACCCCAACATATGTTACATGTTGTGTACAAGGTTCGAATGGCAAACATTTAACAAAAAGTGCCCTCCCTATTTGTCCTATGCTGCATTGATTTGAACCAGTTAACATATCTTAACAATTGGAACTGAGTCTTTTAGATTTTCAGATTAATTATTATTCTAAAAAACTGGCCTGCTCCTGCAATTTTGAATTTTTACTTAGGATCTAATAAAAGCACTATTCGTTGGGTTACTAGATTATCTTACTTTTCATCTGTAGCCAAAATGCACTAATGGTCACATTATAAGCCATTCAAACCTCTTACCATTAAAATGTAGGCATTCACAAAGCCAGTGTTATATGCTGCCTTCATAGACTCTCAATAAGGTGACTAGACTAATGTGTTTGAAACAAAAGAATTTCTTCAGCTGGATTGGCATTCCTCTTAATTTTTTCCCTTAGACTTTGCCCATGTGGGTAAAAATATAACATCTAAATATAGTCTTGTGCTCAGTGTCTTCATTACAAGAGTCAGTAAAGATTTTGTTAAAAGAAGAGCTGAACATTTGAAGATATGAAAAATGCTTCATGCTTTAAGTCACAAAAACACTTTTTCTAGTTATGAATCCTTTCAATAGTCATTTGACAGTAATGTTACACTTTGCACCTCGGATCTAAAAAACTGTTTTATAGATACTAATTTATAGAGTTGGTCAAATATTATTGACTGAATACATTGTTGAGTGAATTTCACCATATTTACAGGAAAACATTATTTGACCTATAATATTTTCAAGTATTTGGCAAGCTCTATATCTAGTTTGATTATATTAATGAATACTTTGATGAATAAAGGCAAAATTAATCTAATAATTTATTCAATTAATAATTTATTTCCAGTGTCAAACAGTGCTACTGATTAGTTAAGCCTGACAACACCTCTGAGGTAAGTAAACACTATACTATAATATTACAATAACTAAGCCACAGAAAGATAAAGTAACCTGTACATGATTACATCACGTTAGTAAGAGAGCTAGAGAAAACTGGGAATAGAAAATCTAGGAATCCTGGGCGAAATCCTGGTCCCATGTAAGTTAATGGCAAAATTCCCATTGATTTCAGTGGAGCCAGGATTGCTCCCCTGATTCCCAGACCCCTGCTCTGACTGACATTCTTGACAGTTCTGGAGGATAATGAGACCTGTGATGTGTAGCAGGGGTTTTCAACCTTTTTCTTTCTGCGCCCCCCCCCCCAACATGCTATAAAAACTCCATGGCCCACATGAGCCACATCAACTGTTACTCTGCATGTAAAATGCAGGCTGGCATTAAGGGGTAGCAATCAGGGCAACTGCTCAGGGACCTACGCCCCAGTGCCCCCATGAAGCTAAGCTGCTCAGGCTTCAGCTTGAGGCCCAGTTGGCAGGGATCGGGGCAGTGGGGTTTTGGCTTTCTTCCCTGAGCCCCAGTGAGTCTAATGCTGGCCCTGCTTGGCAGACCCCCGGAAACCTGCTCGTGGCCCCACAGGGCCCCTGGTTGAGAACTGCTCATGTGTAGCCAAGGGATTTACCTCCTTCCTTAAGGGCTTGGTCTGGAGCACACTGAAGTCAATGGCAAAGACTCCCATTGATTTCAGTAGGCTTGGGATCAGGCCCCAAATCTGCTGAAGCAGGGAGTCTTATTGCCCTTATGCATTTAGTAATCTTAACTCAAGGAATAGTTTTAGGTTATATTTTTGATGCCATTTGTTTGGTATGTTGGCAGCAGGCAATTAGTGGAAATTTAAGACTATATTTTAGATAATGAGACCAAAAGAATGCCCTTGTAAAAGGTAGAGTAAGCAATAAATAAATAAAACAGTGGGGAACCATTATAATTATTGTGCTGGAGAGATTCTTCCCTGTACTTGTATGTCATTTTCCATTCTGTTATACTCTGTTCTGCATTTTACTGTGTTGCTATCCTGCAGCTTAGAACGGAAATGGGTTTATACTTTAATTCACAATTGTGACAAATGAGCAACTTGTGGTGTGCCAGCTAGATGATGAGTAAATTAACCACTTAATGATTGCAAATGAAAAATGAGGAAGAAATAATCATAGAAATGTAGGGCTGGAAGGGAACCTCAAGAGGTCATCTGCCCCCAACACTGAGGCAGGACCAAGGAAATCTAAACAATCACCTGTCAGGGATTGATCTAACCTGTTCTTAAAAACTTCTCGTGATGGGGATTCACAACCTCCTTTGGAAGCTTATTCAAGTAGTTAACTATCCTTATAGTTTTAAAGTATTCCTAATATCTAACCTAAATCTTCCTTGCTGAAGATAAAGTATATTACTTCTTGTCCTACCTTCAATGGGGCATGGAGAACAATTCAGAGTCCCCTTTATAATAGCCTTAACATACCTGAAGATTTATCAGGTCCCCTCTGTCTTCTTTTCTCAAGAGTAAACATGCCCATTTTTTTTAAACTTGTCCTAATAGCTCAGGTTTTCTAAGCCTTTTATCATTTTTGTAGCTCTCCTCTGGACTCTCTTCAGTTTGTCTTCATCTTTCTTAAAGTGTGGGGTCCAAAACAGGACACAGTACTCCAGCTGAGGCCTGACAAGTGCTGAGTAGACTAACTCTGCTGCAGGCCCTGACTCCTGACACTTTCATCTAGGCCGCATTTCCCTATTTTGCTTATGAGAATGTCATATGGGCCCATGTCAAAAGCCTTCCTAAAAATCAAGATATATCATGTCTACTGCTTCCATCCATCACCTAGGCAAGTAACCCTTTCAAAAAAGAAAATTTAGGTTGTTTTGGCATAATTTGTTTTTGACAAATCCACATTGGGTTTTTCTTTATCACCCTCTTATCCTCTATTTAACTTACAAATTCATTGTTTAATAATTGTTCCAGTATCTTTCCATGTATCAAAGTTAGGCAGACTGGTCTATAATTCCCTGGGTCCTCTTTGTTCCCCTTTTTAAAAATAGGTACTGTGCTTGCCCTTCTCCTGTGGTCTGGGACCTCAGCTGTCCACTGTGAGTTTTCAAAGATAATTGCTAAAGGTTCTGAGATTCTACTTCAGCAAATTCCTTAAGTACCCTAGGGTTAATTTCATCAGGCCCTGCCAACTTGAATGCATCTAACTTATCTAGTTATTCTGTAATATGTTCTTTCCTTATTCTGTCTTGCGTTCCTCCTCCCTTGTTGTTAATATTAGTTGTGTGCAGCATCTGGTCACAATTAACATTTTTAGTGAAGACTGAAGCAAAATAGGCATTAAATACCTCAGCCTGCTTGGTGTCATTATTAGCTCTCCTTCCTGCTGAGTAGTGGACCTTTAGTTTCCTTCTTTTCTCTTGCTCCTAATGTAGTTATAGAACCTCCTCTTATTGCTTTTTATGTCCCTTGCTAGTTCTAACTCATTTTTTTCCTTAGCCTTTCTGATTTTTACCCTGCATCCTTTGCTATTCTTTTCTACTCATCCTTAGCAATTTGTTTAATTTTCTGCTTTTTGTAGGATTCCATTTTGATTTTCAGATCATTAAAGAACTCCTGATGGAGTCATATCTGCTTCTTATGACTCTGCCTGTCTTTTCTTCGTAGAGATATAGTTTGCTGTTGTATCTTTAGTATTGTGCTTTGAGAAACTGCCAGCTCTCCTGAACTCCTTTTTCCCTTAGATTTTCTTCCTATGCAACCCACCTACCATTTCTCTGAGTTTAATGAAGTCTGAATTATGAGGAAGAGATAAATGAAAAGGGATGTTGTGTTTATATTTTTTCCTCTATTAAATGACAATAACCTACTCAGAATCCCTAAATTCTCTGGAATTTGTGTAATTTTGTTATAGCTTACTACCAAGTGTTTTTTAATGTTGTTTTACTATAATTTTTATTGAACAGTTAGTCAGGTTCTGACCCAAGTGTGGTATTAAAACATATAAAGAGTTAGTTATAGTGGGTTAAATACTGCCCTAAATCCACATGCAGAACTCTCATTGATCCTGAGTTCCAGGTAGAACGTGCCCCAGTATTTGTTGTAGATAATATGCTTGCTACTTGGTATTAATTATCCTTTTGTCTAGGAAGAACAGTAATAACAAATCACCAGGCTTACCCTTTACCCCAGTGGGCTGAGGTAACCCGTCTCCCAGTGCCAGTGGACAGCTACATTAATGGAGGGGATGACAGGCAGCATATGCATCATCTCCTTCCTGGGGAAGGAGGTGATTAGCCAAGAGGAGAGCATCTTAAAACTGTGTCCAAGTTATAGAGAAGCACTGTTAGTCGAGGCTAAATCAGCTCATCTCTTGGGCTCCCTGGCCAGCACTGCCACCCCCCAAACAGCAGGGATTGCTAGAGCCTTGTGTCATTGCAACCCCCCACTACAGCTAACTTTTTGCAGCTGAGGTGCATCAGTGGAAGCCAGCAAATCCCAGGACTCAGTCATGCCTGGTTACATTTTCCTTTACATATGTATTGCTCTTATTGCAGGAAATGTAAATGTCATGGATTGCATTCCAGTCAGAATATTGACTATTAATCGTATAGTGTGTTTGGAGTGCTATTCAGTACTGCTCACCGATATATAGTGGAGCAGAAATCACTTTTGGTTACACTGGAGAAAATGTCTTGTTCCAACTGTGCCTAGAGAAGGTTGGGCATGTGATGTGCCCAAGAATGGAAATGGTGGGTAGCCTTCCCTTTCTGGGAGAGGTGCTTTTCGAAATTCCATTTATATAGAAAGATGTCCAAGGTGGAACTAGAAGCATTTCTCTATGATATTTGTACATCCCCCAAATAACGTAGTATTGGAGCACTTCACAATCTTTAATATACTTATTCTCACAGCACCCCTGTGAAGTAAGAACATGCTCTTAGCCTCATTTTACAGATAGGAAACTGAGGCACAGAGCGACAGGAAGTCTGTAGCAGAGCAAATGATTGACTCTGGGCCTCCCAGACTAGTGGTGAAAACACTGGGCCATCCTTCCCTTCATTTGACTCCACCTCCTCCAGGGAAAAGGTATGAAAAGGCGAACACCAAAAGGAAGATTATTTTCTTTTCTGTTGTTGTGAGGGAGTTGCTGAATGGATCAGACCTATGGTGAATATTGGAGTGGCACTAAGAGCAGGGATCTTGTTTTAAAATGTCTCTGCCACAATGCCTAGGCAGCTGCTTTGCTGTGACCTCTGCTTACTACATTTTAGTTCTCACTGTTGCCATGAGCTCTCCCTTCTGGTTCTTGTCTCCACCTTTTCTCTCTTGACTTAGATTGTAAACTTTCTGATCAGCTTTTCATTATGTACGTGAACAGTACCTTGCACAATGGTACCCTGATTCATCACTGGGGTTTCTAAGTGTTACTACAATACAAATAGTAGGAAAGGGGGAGAGAGAGAGAGAGAGAAGAGGCAATTTCCTCTCCTCCCCACCCCCATGGCCAAAAACAAGCCATCCCTTTGAGGGTTAAAAGAATGCTGCACCTTAAGAGTTTGCTGTGTTAAAGATCTTGGCTTTGTTTCTCTGACAAGTCTGACAGGTTACACTAAATGTTTTAATCTATAGTATCTGCTTTAATTCTGGGGAGGACTAAATCAAGCTACACACAATATGGAATGCCTGTTATTAACATCCACAGATACAGCTTTGCTCGGTGTGAAATATAAAGTGGATGTTTTATCAATGATGAAAAACTTTAACTGTGCATCAACAGGCCCGCTGACTGGGGGGGGGGGGGTGGTAAAAAGGGGGTAATTGCACCGGGGCCTGGGTGATTTAAAAGGGCCCGGGAGCCCTTTTAAATCGCCTGGGCAGGCCCGCAGGGCTCCTAGGCACATGCGGGGTGGCGACTGCTCCGGGTCCTGCAGGCAGGCGTGATTGGCCAGCCCAGTGCTGTCGGTGCCGGAAGTGATGGAGTCAGTCCCGGAAGTGACAGATTCATCACTTCCGCCCTGGGCCCCACATCCCCCGCTAGGGACGTCCCTGCGGCCCGGAATTGCTGTAGGTGGGCCTGTGCATGAATGAATGTTTCTATAACACTGTACTATCTTTCACTGTTACATACAGCCCCTAAGGACCTCATCCTGCAAGCTTACTCAGGTGAGCAGCCCTAGTGACTTCAATGGGTACAACTCACCTGAGTAAAGGTTGCAGGATGCAGCCCTCAGTCACTACATAACAAAACACCATAACATCTAGTGAGACTTGGAACGCTGTTTATCCTTTAGAAAGCCATTGCCTAGTTCTGATCTAGTGAACAAGTGAGTGCTTGGGCAGATGCCAATTTATTTCTGTATTTCATTCTTTGAACACACAGTGGGCTAAATGCTGCCCTTAGTGCAGGCTAACATGGATATAACTATGTTCTTTTTCAAACGTAAACTGAATATTAAGGAAATGGCCTTTTCTGCACTAGATATGTTTTTCTATTATTATTTTTTCCTCTTTCCCTTAGCAGGGGCTGCTTTTCTTCCTGTTTCTTTGAACCACTAAGCTCCAACTCCATTAGGGAAACAGTCTTGTTGCCTGAGAGAATGGGGTATATTTTCAGCATGTGTGGATTTAAACACACAACTCCCATTAACTGCTTTGAGGCTGTTCCTCTCATTCCAACTGCTGTGTTGCCCTCACGCTCTTTCCAGTATCCCACTGAACGTGCAGTATCCCAGCGAACATGCAGGTTTAGGCAACTGGCCGTGTTCCTGCCAACTTTGACAGTACCAAGACACAAAATATTAGTGACAGCTTTATGGCTGAATCCCAGTGCTTTTTTCTGAACACACTTAATCTTTGAGGTGGCCTGAAATCCAGATCTGAAGCTGGAGCTCAGCTCTCTTTTAATGGACACTTCCCTGTTAACTCCTGTCTACATGAATTGATTAGTGAGTTCATAGTCATAGTCTTTCCCCATACATTAGGCACTCGAGTTTGAAAATATTAGCCATTTCACATAGCTCGAGTGAGGCTGATGCTTAGAACCTTCTCCATCACTAAAACACTCCATGGCTTTAATATATAATAGGGAGGCTCAGTATTCTGCAATTCTAAATGCAAAACACGTTGCTATACATAGAGCAATCAGGATATGGAGAGTTATGGGTCCCCAGTAGCTGTAACTTGGCAGTCTTCCACATAAATAACATTTTGTATTGCTCTAGATGCTGTTAAGGTTAATGCCTTAGTATATACGTACAGTGTGGTCACATTATGGCTGTTTGGGGGATCCATAACTTTGAAGAGCCTGACTTTTGAGTATGTAAAAATCACAACCATAGTGTAGCACTGATATAGTTTTTGCATTTAATTTCCTTGGAGGATTATTTTTGATAATGAAACATGACTACAAAGGGCAGAAAGATGGGGAATAGAGGGGAAAGATTGAAAAATGAAAGGAAAAATGTGCATTTATTTGACTATGACCTTTGGCTATGCAACTAGACCATATTTTGCACATTTTTGGATCTCATACATAGGGTGCACTGCACCCTACAATGGGTGTGTAATCTGAAGTTGGTGGTAAGAAGTCTGAGCAGGAAGGTTCTCCACCTCCCTTTATGACAGTCACCAAAAGGGCGCAACAAATCTGGCAGCCTTTTCTGCTGATCACTCAGGTCATCCAAGCCACACATTGGTGGGGCACAGAGAGAATCTGGAACAGCCAAGATTAAGATAGACCCATTTTGCCTGCATATATATAGTGTTTGGATGGGAGCTTCTCTCTTTCACTTGTTAGTTGAAAAATTAGCAGAAAATAGGGTTCCCAACATTCTTCAATGCTTCTAACTTTTAAATCTTAGCTAGCAGAATTATTTATTACCTACAAGATTAGAGGATCTTATAAAAGCTTTTATCAAATTTGGGGCTCTTCCTTGAGTACAGTCTACTGCTGAACTGCACAATTAGTTACTACGGAGACCCAGATTTTGCCTTTAAGCATCCTACAAAGAACTCCTCAGAAGTATAGTATCCCCCACTGGATACATTTCATTGAATGTCCATTTATTCCATCACTTTCTACCCCTTTCCACAGTGATGTATTTTCTTCTTATGGAGAGGAGAGGGTGTGTTATTTTTTGCTAGTGAATTTTGCTTTTACTATTGGATGGTCTAACATCTGAATAAACACAAGAAATTCACACATTGCTCTATAAAGTTCAATATCATTCCAAATGGCCATTTTTTATATACCAGTGACCAAGATTTTCAAAAGAGATTAGTAATTTTAGAGTACCTCAAGTTTCGGATGCACAATTTGAGACACCATAAAGAGGCTTAAACTGATGAGGACCCACTATCTGAAAATGAGGCCACTTTAAAGTATTTAAAGTTGGGCTCCCCAAAATCCCTAGTCTTTTTAAATATCTTGGCCACTGTTATTTAAGAAAAAATAAAAAATATTGCATGTACAGATACCTCAAACATTGCCAAAGAGAATGATATCAAACTTTCCAAAGCAATTCATGTGTGGGCTAAGAACTAACATGAGATATTTTGGATCAAATAGTCTTTGCTTCAGAGAGTTGTGTGTTTGAAAATAGGGGGTATGTAAGGAAGTGCCTTCTTAGCCATAACTAGAGTGCCTAGTATGCAGGGCTGGCGCTTCCACTAGGCGACCCTAGGCGGTCACCTAGGGCGGCAGGATTTGGGGGGCGGCATTTTGCCGTCCTCGGCGGAAATTCGGCAGCGGGGGGTCCTTCAGCTCCAGGTCTTCGGTGGAAATTCGGCGGCGGGTCCTTCACTCGCTCCGGGACCTGCCGCCAAAGTGCCCCGAAGACCCGAAGTGGAAGGACCGCCGCCGCCGAATGCTCAGAGGAGGAGCGCTGCTGCCTAGGGCGGCAAAAACCCTGGTGCCGCTCCTGCTAGTATGACAGATGGTATATTAAAATTATTTTGTATTTACAGGGTTCCCCCCCAAAAAACAGTTCTAGTTACAGCTGTAGAGCTACAAAGTGAAACTGGATGAGTGTTATCAAAGACAAATGGAATGGTACCCAATAACAGGAACAGAAGTTCCCTCAGGACAATCTGTGAAATTATCTCAAAGTCATTAAATAGCAAAATAATGAATTAATGTTCATCTTACCGCTATGTCCTCTCCTTTGCAGTATACCTTTCAGCTGCAACAGTGCAACCATTAGAGAGGAACAGCCTAAGAGGGCTCTTTGTTACACATGCCTGTGACACCTTTATTGTGAAAAAGAAAAAAAATATCACAGCAATAGGGATTTTCCAGATGGTGCAGCAGGAGGATAGGCAGGTAGACTGTAAGTGCTATATAACATCCCATATTTCCTTTTAAGCGTTTGTGCTTGAAAATGCTATGTGACTAATGTGAGGGCTAACCAATGCACAAGGCACTACATAGTTTGGGGTGCCTCTTCCACTAGAAATGGGGGGAAATGACTTTTTTTAAACTGGAAAACATGAAACCAGCAGAATTTCCAGTGTTAGGTTTGCCAGGCCTAAAGCAGACATTACTAAAACTATTAATCTTCAGTACTTTAAGACTGACTGCTTTCAGGAACTCAGGCTGTTTGGATTAAGCCCAGTGTGATGAAAGGGTACCCTATAAGTGTTCTTAGGGGGCACTGGGAATGAAAAGCCAGCTGCGTTCATGTCACATACACAAGATCGCTTGCATCAGAAGCTGCTACAGTAAAAGAGCATGTTCTAGAATAAGACAGCTCTCATGCCAAAACCAGTTGGTAGAATAGAAATGAGGAGAGCACCAAGAAAATATAGGAACCATCCAACAGGTGATGTATAAGGAGTTAGGGCAGGAGCCTAATGAAACTAGGTCCAAAAATCCAGTTGAGAAATCCTGGCATCATTGAAGTCAATGGCAAAACTCCCATTGACTTCAGCGGGCCAGGATTTATTGAGTTGCCCAACTCTGTCTTTTATTTGTTTGTTTAAAAAAAAAAAGAACATGAAAAACTAAGCCCTCCAATCTCTATATAAAGAGGGACTGTCAAAGCGTGAGCTTTTCCACACACAGATCCTACAGTTCCACGCAAACAGCTGCTGGAGAGAGTCTACTGTCTCTCAAGGTAGAAATAATTTTGTCTTCCTGATCTTTAGGCTGTGGCTTCCTTTTAACCTTTGCATTTCATTTTTCTGAGGTTCATTCACATGAACTGTTTGCTCCTTCTGTGGCACTGGCTCTAAACGTTTGGCAGATCTTTTTAAATGAAGCACAGGTGAGAATTAGAAACATTTGCAGCCCCAATTAAGATGTCAGAGAAATTTTAACTTTGATTCTATGAGCTTCAGAGTCAGGATGAACTATGCTTATTGCAGACAGCTGGCTTAAGGACGAAAGAATGTCTTCTGTGTAGTTACATAACAAGGAGCTTGATTATCTTAACACAGCCAATCGACTATGTAATTCTTTATTATCTATGTAACAGCTATTTACTTAACTGGTTACATGTTGTTATCTTTTGGCATTGTATATGTCCAGCTACAACTATGAGAGGTTTAACAGCACTTTATTTGTCCAGATTTTGAGCTGTTCAAAAGCAATTACATTAATGGTAAACTAAATATTGTTTACCATCTATTTGGGGATGAGGGGCCCCAGAAATGTCAAGAAGAGACCCACAATGGCGTGAAATCTTTGCTTACTCATTGGCTAGTTGCAGCCCAGGCAGGCACTTTTCCAATATAACTAAACTGTGAGTGAATGGGACCACCCTCCTTGTGGCTGAAAAGATAATTCACTGTGAATTATTGTGCACCAAGCTCAGGATGTGTTGTGGTTTTGAGATGTGAGCAATTGCTTACAGAAGAGGAACACGTGAACAGTTTAAGCGATATTGCCTTACAATGGGATCCATATTTGAATCCAGACTCTTAACGTAATTCACTGCATCAGCTGGCGGTGTTATTATTTATTATGTAGTCCTTTTCTAAGCACTGTTGCTTTCTGAAGAACAGAAACATAAAGGCAGTCCCTGCAATCTAAGATTCAGGCACCTATAAGATAAGATATACTGAGAGAGAGACATTGACTTAATGGTAAAATTGGGCCCTTTCTATGTAGGAAAAGTGCTGCAACAGCTTCTTCTACATGGGGCTCAGCTGAGATTGCAGGAGCTTCACATCAGCACTGAATTTGCAAATATTATTGATTTATAGGGCTGTAGCACCCAGAGGCCCCATTGTATTGGCACTCTGTAGTCACAGAGATAGTAGGAGTCAGTCTAGGCCCTGAGGAACTTAGTAGCTAAACAAATCAGACGGTTAAAGGGTGGAAGAAAAGCAGCATCCCTCACTCACGCAAATTGAGCCTTGTGCTGCGCTCCATTACATACGTGAAACTCCCATTGAAGTCAGTGGGAGTTGTGCCCACGCGCTAGTGGGCATGATTGGCATACTGCATATACAGTATACAGAACTGTATGTATATAGTATACTGCAGAACTGGAATTAATTTGCAAACTGGACACTATCAAATTAGGCCTGAATAAAGACTGGGAGTGATGGGTCACTACAAAAAGTAATTTTCCCTCTGCTGATACTCACACCTTCTTGTCAACTGTTGGGAATGGGACGCCCAGGTTGATTGCATTGGCCTCGTTAGCACTACAAAGGTAATTTTCCCTGTTAATATTCACCTCTTCTTGTCAGCTGTTGAGAATAGGCCACTTCCACCTTAATTGAATTGGTCTCGTTTGCACTGACCCCGCACTTGGAAGGCAACTCCCATATTTTCATGTGCTGTAATATATATACTGCTTACTGTATTTTTCACTCCATGCATCTGATGAAGTGAGTTTTAGCCCACTAAAGCTTATGCCCAAATAAATTTGTTAATCTCTAAGGTGCTACAAGTACTCCTAGTTGTTTTTGCTGATACAGACTAATATGGCTACCACTCTGAAACCGGTATACATACACACACTCAGGGGTGCTGGAACTAGGGGTGCTGCTGCACCCCCTGGCTTGAAGTGGTTTCCATCATATACAGGGTTTACAGTTTTGTTCAATGGCTTTCAGCACCCACCACTATACAAATTGTTCCAACGCCACCGCCCACTCTTGTCTTCTTTTTTTAATCACTTCTTAAATCGGGTGCATAAAGTAACATTGCATATCACTTCCAGGAAAGCAAGCAAAATTGACTCAGGTTTGGGTTTAGTTGATATTTTGGAGCCTGATCCTATTGAAGTCAATGGCAACTCTCATTGACTTCAGTGGGAGCCAGGATCAGGCCCAAATCCTTTCCGGTTCAGTGGGTTTGGCCTGAGCTAGAACCTCAGAACTGAACACCCCAGATTTTGGGGGGAAATGAACCCAAATGCAAGTTCATGTGTGGTCCCTCTCCCTACAGGGCGCTGAACCAAAATCCCCAGCTCCAACCTCCCTGAATTTTGAGGAAATTTGGATCCAACACTGAACTTTGCCACCCACTCTCTTGTCTAAGTTTTGACCTCACATCAGGCAAACTTAGCTGGCTTCAACTGAGTTTGAATTTTCAGTTTGAACCCAAAACTTGAAAAAAAAAATAAGATTTCAGACATAGCACCCAAAGAGACTTTTTTTAAATTTGCCACTCTAGTGTGAACCAAACCTACCAATTTTTGCACTGCTCTGTTCATAAGTGTTCTGGAGATCAATGTAAATGTAGCTCTAATGTGAAATCACATTTGCTCTCATTGAAGGGTAGTGCTGGTTTACAATAGCGTATTTGCTTTTTGGATTTATACTGTAAGATGACATTTCATTTAGCTCATGCCATTTACTGAAACAGACGCAAAAGATGGGAAGCCAGTTTTCTGGCAACTCCAGAGAACGTTACATAGTACAGAGTAAACAGCTTGCTCTGTTGTTCATTTGCTAGCGGAGAGATGGTCCGTTGAGCAAGATCCAGAATCAGCAGAAATGGAGGGGAGTAATCATTAAACAAACAAATCTGTCAGCAAAGTCAGAAAAACTTCCTCTCTCCATAAACATAATGGGGAGAGGATATTTTCATATCCAATGAAGTGTGCTGTGTAAAACAGACAATTAACCAGATGTGCTCTCCTGGGGTTTTGGAACAGGCACATGTCTGCATTAAACTATTGATCCAGTTCTACTAGTCTAGTAAGCCTATGAACTATGGGTGTAAACGCTACCCAGCCAAGGGCTGCAGAATTTGGCCTGAATACAGAAGATGATGTAAGACAATAGTCCTGCAAGATGATGAGGGCCCTCAGGCTAATGAGGATGCGGGCGCTCAGCACCTTATAGAAGGTACTCAGCATCTCAAAGGATCAGCTGCACAATTTATACGCAGATTGGCACATGAACTGTGGTATAGTGAGTTTCTCCTTTGTATCACTGTTTAGATGTGATAATGAAGCACTATTTGAATGCCGGAGTTGCAGAGAGTAAAAAATAAAATAAAAAAATCAGTTAGTGGTTTTCCGTTAAATGTTACAAGTTGCAAAATTCTCTGTTTTACTTTGAAACAAAGATTCCGAACCAGAAATTGGGTTCTTTTGATTATTTTGTAGAAGTTCCCTAATATTAAGCAGTTTGGGCCAAGCCTGGTCTCCCTGATCCAGGGTTTGAGCCTTTGTAAAGATAAAATATTTTTTCATAGATGGCTTAAAGATGAATGTTGTCGTCTTGTTCTTAGATTAACATGTTTGTGGAAGGATTCCATGATGCCATTCTCCTCTATGCTCTGGCTTTGCGTGAAGTCCTAAAATATGGCTTTGGCAAGAAGGATGGGGATAAAATTGTTCATCAGACACGGAACAGGACATATGAAGGTAGGTGTCTGCTAGTTGGAATACTGGATTGTATCAGTGTCATTACAACTCAGGCTATTACTGTGTGTGCCGCTTGAGGACCAGGACACAAGAGGTTAAAAATAGTCAGAATATATGCTCTTCAAATATACACACTGCATTTTTAAAGATCAAATAATTCACCACTTCGAACATTTTTCATAACATCCCTTTAGGTATTATTCTGCTCAAAGGAACTCCTAATAATTTAATGACCCTCATTAGGGTTGTAAAGAAATGCCAATAACTTTCTCAGGCTCCTTTGTTTTTCAAAAGATTACAGCAGCGTGTCTTACTTCATGTGCATCTACTAGCTCTTGAGCTTGCTTCATTTTTTCCATTTAGCGTTTTTATCTTAACAAGCTGGATTCGATAAAAGCACACGGGTGCCAATTTTTCCTTTGTCGTTAATGCTGTTTTGAGCATTGGAAGGTTTTTCTTCCCTTCCTTTTAAGAGCTTTGTTTGTTATCTCAGATACAGTAACCAAACAGGACTGTGGCTTTCTGGGCTTAATCCCTTAGGCCCTGAGTCTACAGAGATTTCAGCAGATGCGTAACTTTAAACTTGTGAGTAGTCCCTCCCGTTGAGGTAGTTATGCATGTGCTTAAGTTTTTGCAGAGTATGGGCCTCAGTAAAGAAACAGAGCAGTGTGACATCACCAGACCAACATATCATTTCTTACATTAATCTTTCAGTGTTAGGATTACCAAGATTTCCAGTGGAAGTACTTGAGAAAGAAAATATTTCCCTTACATAAGAAACCAACATTTAACTCAGAAATATAACAGCTCTGAAAGACATAAAGGGCCAGATTCTCAGCTGCCATGAGTATACACTGGGCAGAGTTGAGGAGAAGTGAAGGGGCAGGTAGCTCTAAGCCACGTTTCTGTTCCCCTGGTCCTGGGTTCACTAAAAGCTAATATGATCCCCAGTGAATTTAAAGCAGCCTGGTGACTCCTCTGAATTATGCAGCGAAAGCAGCCCCACAAGCACCACTGCACTAGGTCAGGATCAGGTACAGCTCTGCATAACGTACTCCATCCCCTCCAAATCATGGCACCCCACAGCACTGTACACCCAGGGGATTCCCCTCTGTCATGAGATTCCTTTTACCGCAGCCTCTCTGAACAGAGAATCCGCCCAAAATGTCCATCTTATATCCCATAATTTTATGCTAGAGTCCTCCAAGAACATGCCAAGGTGCGTCTTTGCAAGGTTTCTTATAGAGATTTGTGTTCCAAACAGTGGGACTCCCAGGCTACACAATAGCGTCCTAAGCGGCTTTACTCATAATACCAGCCAAAAGAAAAGAATGTTCTCTTTCCTCACTGGTAAAAAACAGTTCTTTGTTGCTGAGCAACCTCTCTCTTATCATAGCTATTTTGAAAATTCAGGCTTAACGCTGAGCTGTCAGGAGCATAAGACTGCAAGGTAAAGACCCCCCCACTCCTCACTATCCCAATACTTGGCTGGGCAAATATTTATTAATTATAGGGCTGATGTTGAAAGTGGTCTTCAACTTGGCCTCTTGGGAGTCAATCCTACAAGGAGAACCATGCAAGCAGACTCCTGCCCTTGTGGGGATCCCCCCCCCATGGTCAGTGGGGCTCTGTGCGGGAGCCAGGAGACCATTCATGCAGAGTCCATTGCAGGTTGGGGCCTTGTATTGCCCCTGAAATTTTGCACACAGATCATTGAAAACAGTAGCTGCCATTCAGATTTCTAACTGCCTGGGCACCTTTTCTCCATGGTACATTCCGCTCCACATCAGATGGGTATCCAGTCAGGAATCCCGTTAGATATTAATAGCTGCTAAAGAAACATTCATACACATCCTCCCCTCTGCGTAGGTTGGGGTAGGGGAGAGCCAGTCAATGGCAGCATGAATGCTTCAGGAGAGGGATAGGGACTAGAACTGGTCAAAAATTCTCCAATGAAACAGTTTTCTATTAGAAAATGCTGATTTAAAAAAAAATTAATGTTTTGATAGTTTTATTAAGTCAAAACAAAGCACTTCAATGAAGTTGTTTCAATATTTCCAGATCAAAATTTTGTTCTGCAGGAAATTTTCAACTTTTCATTACAATTCAGGATGAAAGAACGTTTCAGAATTTCCAAGTTTTGAATAGCTCTACTAATGACTTCAGGCCAGATGGTCTTGGCTTCCAGAGTCACTAAGCTTTCTGTTCCAGTAAACACTTCCTTTCAGTTCTGGGAGCCAGCTTTGCCATGCCAGACAAGTTGGTAGTGGCCTCTGAGTGTTGCTATTGCCATTTGGCTGTGCTCACTCTTTAATCCTTCAGTCCGGTATAGTAACACAAATTTGAGATTGTTTGGCTACTGTACCATTACATCTCCAGGCAGTCATTTGGTTGTAAACAGTTTGGTTAATACTCAGTAGGCCTATGATTAAACTCTGATTAATCTTTCCTGAGGTCATTCCATTTTAATAGGAAAAGAGCAAAGGTGAGGCATTTTAGCTCATTGAGCATTTGGGAAGATTAGGTTTGTTGAGAAAAATGTACATTCTGGTACTGAGTCGCTGAAGTCTCTCTCCTGGTTTGTAATTGCACCTTGGGACCTGATTCTCCACTACCCTGCACCTTGCGTAATCATCTCTGTGGCATGGGTGTAAAGGGCTACCATTCTGATGTGCATTCACTTTGCACAGTGCAGCAGAGACTCGGGTCCATTGTCTTCATCCCCTGAGTGAAGAAGAGCGACACTAGAACCTTGCTAACTGTGCCCTTTGCCCTGTTCTCTGCCCACCCCTCAGCAAAGAATTGGCACTGGAGAGAGGTCTTGTGTTCTTATGATTCCATTGTTTTCACAAGTTCTGCCACATTGCATGTACTAGTACACTGGGACGTATTAGCCATAATCATTAAACTACAGGAAAGCGGACACAAGAAACGATCACAGTGCACGATCTGTTGCATTATCCTGTTTTATTATTGGGTTTGTTGACCGCCAGCCTGATTCTGCCAGCTTTATTCACAGTGAATAGCACCTTACTCCACAAGAAGGTCCCCTGATTTCAGTAGGACTACTCAGGGCCTAAATCTGCCAAAGTTGCTAAATTCAGTCATTCACCAGGGTCAAATCATGACACCCTTGCTCACTTTTTTGCTCAGTCAGGGAAAACTCTTAGCGGGCCTGATTCTGCTCTTGCTTATACCGCTATAACTCAGAGGTAACTCCACTGAAATCAGTGAAGGCAAATTGCTGTAACACTGAGGTCAGAGAAGAATCAGGCCCAGTGACTTTAGTGGAGTTGTTCCATGAGTTAAACCTGAATTAAAACCTCATTAAGAATGTCAGGATTTGGCACCCAGTTTCCCAGTCATGAGTATGTATTGGCAAAGTTCTCCAGTGTCTTTGACAGACATGCACGCGGCTGTTCCTGTATACATTCTGAGCCAGAGCCTCGGGGGTGTAAACTGGAATGGAACCATGGTCTTAAGTAGAGCTACATCAATTTACACCAATGGATGAACTGACCCTACGTTTCACTGGAGATTAGTCACTGAGGGCAGATGCCATGCTGAGGACTTGAGAAACTGACGAGTGTTGAATGTGTCTTTCTCAAAGTTGTAACCAGAAATATTGAAATAAATAGGAATTGAACCCAAGTTCATGTATAGAATTGGTATAGTCTTGACCTTAAGAAGGGCTGATTACCCCAAACTCTGATTTAAATCTGTATGAGCTGTGGGTCTGTCAAACCCACACAGTATTTTCTTGGGTGGGGGGTGCATAATTCAGTGCCATTGAATTCCATGGGAAGGGTCTCATTGACTTCAGGGAATGTTTAATAACGCCCTTGATCTCTGTGTGTAACAGAGAAGAAAGGAAACATGACCCCAATTCTGCAAAGCACTTAAACATATGTTTAAGCTTGACAGTGGGACTTAAGTTTATGCATTAAGTACTTTACTGAACTGGAGCCTGTAAGATTAACACTGCCCTTTCAGGATCAAATTTTTCAGCTCCAGTGAAGACTATGGAATCTAAGTGATTGTAGGATTTAGCCCACAGTAAAGCAGCTATAGCTCCCCATATCGTATCCAGTGAGAACAGCAATAAACTAGCTCCACAGGTGTACCACATGTTGGAGCTGCTGACTCTGGCCTTGGTCTCTGTTTCATTAGTTCTCAGCTTCACATGAGCATGTGTGTTTTTACGTGGGCTTTGTTAGCTATTTCAGGACAAGGCCCTATGTAAATTAATTTGCACGAAATGCATTTTTATTTTTATTCCAGTGCTCTGAATTTCTGGATTACATTTTTTTCACATATTCCCCAAACAGGCTCACATATTTTATATTTCAAAAGGAGAAATGTTAAGCATTTCGGAATGCAGACGCTGAGATGAAATTACCATTTCTTCTGGAATGCCAATAAAAGTGCTGTGAGACTGATGAGATTTCCTGTCAAGTATCAGTCTGTAAAAATCTGTCCACTCGTATTTTTGTTTTCCTTGGAAGAGTCCAACATTTTAACTAATTAATTTTCTAATTCCTTACATGCCATTCTCTAGGCATTGCAGGGCAGGTATCCATCGATGCCAATGGAGACCGATATGGGGATTTCTCAGTGATTGCAATGACCAACCCAGAAGCAGGCACACAGGAGGTAAGAAAATAAACATAATTGTAAATGCCTACTGATGAGATGTCCCAGCTAGTGTCAGTATAATGTACCATCATATTGTCTGCTTACTCAGTAGACAGATAATTATTTAACTGTGTGTATTAAAACGTCATAACATAATCCTACAAACCCTAAGTGCAAATCCTGCTTGTAAAAGTAATCTTAAAGCATAAAACCCAGTTCTACAAATCCATTCTCACTCAAAGGATTACTTGGGTGTAAGACTTTACAGGACTAGGCTCTATATCAGGGGTGGCCAAACTTATTGACGTTCCACGCTGCATGCAATAATCTTCAGAAGTTTGAGGGCTGGGTGCGCCTGCTAGGACTAAGGGCTTCTGCCCTGTGGGGGTGAGGGGAGCACCTGCCGGGGCTCGGGGCTTCAGCCCTTGAGGAGGTGCCTGCCAGGTCTAGAGGCTTCAGCCCTGTGGGGAGGAGGGGGGCGCCTGCTGGGTCTAGGGGCTGAAGTCCCAAGCCCCACTGCAGGGCAGAGGCCCCAGACTCCCCACCCCCAGCCTGGTAGGCAGAGAATGGGAAGGAAGGGGCCAGCTCTGCGAGTCACACTAACTGAAAAGGCAGCAAAGAGTCCTGGGGCACCTTATAGACTAACAGACGTATTGGAGCATGAGCTTTCGTGGGTGAATACCCACTTCTTTGGATGCATCATTTGAATAGTCCCAGTGAGTAAGGTCTAGTCACATGAGTAATGATTTGCTGGGCCAGGCCACTAATGCATTTCTATAGATACAATTGTCTGAAAACTATGAACCTAACCTACAGATACTTACAATGAATAGTCATAGGTACTGGAAGTCAGTAGGGTTGATTATGGGGAAAAGATCTAGTGTGATCAGCCCCTATTTGTATTAATATTTTTTTTAGTAATTTCATTCTCCCTTATTTCGCTTCTGCTTGCCTTTCATTTCCAGTTGAACCTCTCTTTTCGCCCTTCGATGGTGTATTTCTGTTTCTCTTCAAAAGTATGTCTCATGTTAATTTCTTCCTTTCATTTTTGTAATCTATTAGTTGTTAATTGTGTCTGTTTTGCTCAGGTTTTTCTGCTGTCCCTGTGCTGATTTATAACCTGGCCTCTTTCTTTGATCCATTGTTTCTTTTATTTATTTCACTGGTTCCTTCCATCTGTTCATGAAAACATTAGTTCCTCAATGGAATTGAGCCAGATGAGTGCATGCATTGGCCAGAACCCTGCTCACAGCTTCATACATAGACTAAGATCAGAAGGAACCATTAGATCATCTAGTCTGAGCTCCATTGCATTTCACCCAGTTACCCCTATATTGACCCCAGTAATGGGTGTTTGACTAAAACGTATCTTCCAGAAAGGCAACCATCTTAATTTGAAGACATCAAGAGATAGCGCATCCATCACTTCCCTTGGCAGTTTGTTCCAGTGGTTAATCACCCACACATTTCTAATGTGAATTTGTCTGGATTCAGGTTCCAGCCATTCATTCTTGTTATGCCGTTCTCCACTCAGTTAAAAAGCCCTTTAAGTACCTTCATGGGGGGAAAAAATACTGAGTACTATACACTGTAACCAAGTTGCCTCTCAAGCTTATTTTTGATACACTAAAAAAATTGAGCTCTTCAGGTCTCTCACTGCATTTTCTCCAGCCCTTGAATTATGTTTGTGGTTCTTTTCTGCTCTCTCTCCACTTTGCTGCACCTGCAGTCCCATATCTGAGCAATTGTTAGTTGGAATATGAATAAGTGTTTCCTGTAAAGATTTGAACTACAGTTGCACTAATGGCAGAGAAATGCAGACTCCTTCAATGTGAAATTCTCCTATGCATATAACAAGTATACTCCATTTAAGTCTTACGTAAGCCCTCAAAATAGGATTTAAGTGGCAGGACCTATGTATAATGGTGAATTTCACCCATCAACATGCCTCAATGGCTCAAATAAGGAAAGTAACAAAGTTTACTTTACGCCCAGAATTAGCTGAAAATTCATGTCTGTGTTCAAACAATTATATCTTCTGATGCAAATGTACCACTCACATTAACTTCCCTGGCAGCCGTGCATGTTACCTGAAGGCAGAATTTGTCCCTCCATTTTTTTTCTTCATTAATGTTTATACATTTTAGGGAATATTTTCAGAAGGGTGGGCAGCTCCTCTCCTTTTGCAGGCAGGATTTGTTCCTGCATTTTTGCCCCTGCCGTTCACATATCTGGGTATTTGTCCCTCTAACTGCAGTACTTGACTGGAGGCACAAATCAGAGATGCAGATACTCATTTGTTCTTGCATTTTATTTCTGCAAACTGCACCCACAAATGGGAGCCTAAAATATTCTCCTGTGTGAATTTCATCAAGTAGATAGAAAGCAGCCTCTTTTACTCTGCTAGTTGTACAGATAATTTGGGCCAGATTCTCTACTGTATTACTCCATCTGTATACTGTTGTAGCTCTGTTGTTCCATTGGAGTTAAACTGGAGTGATGCAGTAGTAAACCATATCCTATATGTTTATTTGTATGCAACATGAATCATCCTCTTGGGCATATAATATTAAGGAAGGAACCAACTCACAAACTTGATTACATACAGCCTTGAATTTTAAGGAAGTTCAGAATCTGAATCTAGATTTTGAAACTCTCACATCTGAACCCAAAATCCTGAACAGAAAACAAAAATGCATGTAGACCTCTCGGAACTTATAGACTGGAACCCAAAATCAGGCAAAGCTCTCCTGCTTTTAAGTTTCTTTACAACTCCAAAACCCTTGGTTTACTGAGATCCATGAACTTGGTAGAGATGGTCTCCATGCAAGAAAGTCAGGATCTGAGTCCAGATTTCAAATGCCAAAAAGTTTGTGGGAGATCAGATTAAAGGGTTTTTGTTCGGGCCTGTAACACTTCTGGAGCACCTGCTGCTGCATGAGATACTGCAGGCCTTTCCCTCTCCTGGCACCCCTGTAGGTTGTCGACCTTACTTGGTAGCCCTCCAGTGGCTCAGTCCTCCAGCTTGGTCACAGTCAAAATGAACCCCTTCTAGGGTAGGAAGAGTCCTTACTAGGGCCTTCAGTCCCGGCTCTGGACCCTTTACATTCACCCCTTGGCTGAGGTTCCCAAACAAGCCTTGTCCCCTTCACAGGGTTTTGCCAGTGGCTGGTAGGAGAGCCTGGGCCTGCCTACTACTCCATGTTCCAGCCCACCAGCAGCCACACACACAGCAGCCACATACTGCTCACTTCAGTTCATTATTGCTATTTTCCTAGACCTCTTCTCACCTGGCCCCTTTATCTTCACCCCCTTACCTTAGGGTTAAAGTTCTCAGGTCCTCTCTCTCCCAGCTTAAACAATTGTAGTCAGAACCAAACTCTGGTTGCCACTCAAGCTCCTTTGTCCAGAGAAGAGTACTCTTCCTCAGCCTTTGGTCCCAGGAACTTACCTGCTAAGGCTCTGCAGCTCCTTTTTATCTGAGCCTCCTGGGCTCTGATTGGCAGCCGCTCTAGGCAGGTCTAGAGAGCCCACCTTTGCTGCTCCTTTCCTGGGGAGAGGTGTAGTAGGATTGTGGAGCCTCCAGCAGTGGGCCACAAGAGGCTTGGTACACCCTGTCACAGGAACCATTTCAAGAACCATCACGAAGTTTTAAACAAGCTAACTCCAAATTTTCTCTGAACCCTGGCCATTTATTGTTTGGGGCAGAAAGCTGGAGAGATTGATTTCAGTGACTAAAATGGAGCAGGGTATGGAAAGCCCTAGATTTATAATCTAGAATTTTGTCCTTAGCCATAAGTGCTGCTAATTAATGATCGCATCAGTGGGATTCTGACAGGGCAACTTATTCACGTCCCGTGGATAATCAGGACGTTTCACAAGGCTCCAAGCACATGCAGCTCTCCAGTGTGTCTCTTTTCTCTGGGAATAAATTAATTAGAAAAGCATTGTCATTTCTTGTTTTTACACAGGTGATTGGGGACTACTATGGAAAGCAAGGGCGTTTTGAAATTCGATCAAACGTGAAGTATCCTTGGGGTCCTGGCAAGCTGAGAATAGATGAAAACAGAGTTTTAGAGCACACGAACAATACACCTTGTAAATCATGTAAGTTTAGTGACTTAATGTTTCCTTCCAAGCTGTAAGAGAGAGAAAGAGAGAGAGAGAGAGGAAGCAGCCCATGCTGTGATACAGCATCCCCTTGTTTACACTCACATTCCTTAATGGAACACTGTCAAGGTTGCTGGGCCTGAAAATGCCAGCAGTACCTTGACAGCTGTGCTATATTGAAACAGTTCCGTTTAGAACGGCTGGGACATATCTTTATTCCCAGACATTGCATGCTACTACTGGGAACAAAAAGCTCAAGCAGATATGCAACTTCTTGTCAGACTCCCATCATTAAGCTGGTGTATGCCCATTATGCTACAGATACATCCGTATTGGCCTTAAGCCCATGGAAGTCCCCTTCCAGGAAAATAAACGGGTAGCTCTCCGCAGGCCAGAAGGGAGCAAACACAGTGAGTAGCTGGAATATGCAAGCTTGTCCCCTGCGACAAGACGTAATCACACCCCTTTGACAGTCGCTGATAAGAACAGCATTAACTCTCCACGGGGTTTGGGATGGTGCCCTCCAGAGATTCTCAACCCGAGCAGCCCCATCTCTTTCCAGTTCCTGCGTTCACAGACCATGCTTCGCAGAGGGGACAATGAGGTGACTGGAAAAAGATACTTGCAATATTTCTGTGGCAAATTTCCCTCTGCTGTGGACATTTCCCTCAAAAGGATGGTCTTAGCTCCCCTTTTATAAGGAGGGTTTTGCAGGAGATGAATTGCTAGCTCTGGAGCCAGGAGATACCCCCAGCTCGACAGTATTATTTCCCTCTTTTCCATTAAGATTTAAAACAATAGCTGTACTCTATACTTTTCTGTATACATTCGTTCTGGCCCGGGCTGTCCTCGACTAGCGCAGAGGGAGACAGTGCATTTGTGCCCCCTTGTTATCTCCATGCGTCCCTGGGTGGGAAGCAGCAACGCCCTTCAAAGGGTCAAAGAAGAGTGAAGAGGAGGCTGGTCCATGGCTTCCCCCTCCCTCTGTACCAGCCCATGGTGTGGCCCAGGCATGGCAAGAGAAGCAGGCTATGCCGTCCTAAAGACTGATGCAGCGAGCATGCTCCTTTTTTGCTCCCTCGAGAGACTTTCTTCCCTGAGCTCCTCTCTATTCTGTCCCCTACTCAACTCTGTGGCAAAGTGCCATGTTCTCACCGTTCAGCTGAATGTTGATTTATGATTATGTTCACATAGTCATTTGTTGACTGTAACTTCATGTGCAAAACTTTCAGCACAGAACTAAAATCACATGAATTTTACTTGAAACTCAGCCCAGGTTCATCAAAAGGTTTGCTGGGGCCTATGAGGCTACTGAGTGAAGATGAGCCCATCCTTGAGTTAACCTGGGCTGGTGTACGATTTTGGTGCTAACCCAGGTGAAACTCGGTCGTTTCTGTCATAGTAGCTGCTGCAGTCATTAGACCCTGACCCCTGCCATGTGATCTATTGTAATCCTAGTCCCTGTCATGAGGGGTAGGCCATACACACCCATCTCTTACCAGCATTTCTCTATATCACACCATTATTACAATTGTGACTGAGTGTTCCTTTGATTTCGTGGTGGTGGGAGGGTTGACACCCAACACTCAGAGTAAAGCAGAGAGGAAAATAAAATCACATGAGTTTGAACCAAAGGAGAGGTTCCCCTCAAGCCCCATCTGAACGGGGTTATAAACAGCTCTAGTTATTTTTGTGCATTGGTCATTTCTTTAACACGTATTTTCCAAAATGTGAACATGAACAGTTCTGGGTATGAATGCTGATCATTTATTTCTTTTTGCTTTTTCAAGCAGGTGGCCTAGGAGAGTCGGCAGTTACAGGGATCGTAGTGGGCGCCTTACTTGGAGCAGGATTACTAATGGCTTTCTACTTTTTCAGGTTAGTCCCGGTTACTAAAAGTTCCTTAGCTACCTACAGAGCCCAAACCTCTCCACACCTTGTAAGCCTCTCTCTGGTATGAGGAGTGGAGACAGACAGGTGCTAAAATAAGGGCCTACTTCTCTGGGGCAAAACTCCCACTGAAGCCAGTTCATTCACTTTACTGTCTCGATAGCTGTTTTGCATGCTTAAGTCAGCTTTATTGTGTTAGGCCCTGATCCTTCAATCCCTTATGCTTGTGGGTAATTTTACTTGTGTTAGTAGTGCCAGTAAATTCATGGCTAACATAATAAAGCTCACAGATGTGGAAAGCTTTCCTATTTTTCAGCATTGTACATGCAGTGATCGCGACCAGGACCAGCTGCCTAGTAGAGCAGAGTAATGTCTTTATTTAATTGCTGAGCAAAATAATACAGTATTATACTGGAGATATTTCAAAGTGACTGCTTTAGCATGGTTGGCCAAAGGGAATTGTTGAGTTTCAGTGGGTTCCAAGAGGCAGGACCAAATGCTCTGTTGCTAGGTTGTTTGTGTATTTTTAAATCTTGTACTGTCAACCAACAAATCTACAACATTCGGGGCCATCCTACAGCTCAGGCAAAACTCCCATTGACTTAACTGTTGAGCATATTATACATGTTATGCTGTATTTCTTTATGCATGGAAGAGACAAAGTAAGAATACAGTTGATTCCTTGTATATTACAATGAAATAATGTTTTTATGCAACAGTAACAATTAAGACAATTGCCCCTTTTTGCTGTTTTTGAAATACAGGTTAACAAAATGAGACATAGTGAAACCTGCGTTTCTGATGTGCAAGCCCATCTTAAGCAATCATTCTGAAATATCTCCAATATTTGACTAGTTTTGCTCAGAAGATACTTAAAGTCCAAATTCTACTGGGCAGTCGATGCTGGTCAATTGCACAGTCAATGAATACACATTACGGTGGGAAAGTACTGCTCTAAGAAGTTTTAATTCCCTCTCCATATCATTAAGTCAGCCATGGTAAGAAAGTTTAAGGGGAAAAACAGTCCAGGAGAGTTAGCAGTTTTTCAAAGAAACATTATTAAAGGCACAAGAGCAAACTATCCCACTGCGTAGGAAAGATAGGACATATGGCAAGAGACCACCTTGGCTTTACCAAGATTTTTAATTTATCTTCAATTATCTGAAACTCAAAAAAAGAGTCCTAAAAAAGTGGAAATTAGGTCAAATTACAAAGGGTGAATATAAACAAATAACACAAGTACGTAGGGTCAAAATTAGAAAGGCCAAGACACAAAACGAGATCAAACTAGTTAGAGACATAAAGGGTAACAAGAAAACATTCTACAAATACATTAGAAGCAAGAGGAAGACCAAGGACAGGGTAGCCCATTACTCAATGGGGGGTGAGGGGGGGAGGAAGAAACAATAACAGAAAATGTGCAAATGGCAGAAGTGCTAAATGACTTTTGTTTCACTTTTCACAAAAAGTTTAGTAACAATTGGACATCTAACTTAATGAATGAGGTGAAAATGAGGTAGGTTCAGAGGTAAAATAGGGAAAGAACAAGGAAAAAATTACTTAGACAAGTTAGATGTCTTTAAATCACAATGGCCTGATGACATACATCCTAGAATACGCAAGAAGCAGACTGAGGAGATATCTGAGCCATTAGCAATTATCTTCGAAAATTCACCAAAGATGGGAGAGATTCCAGAGGACTGGAAGAGGGCAAATATAGTGTCAACCTATAAAAAGTGAAATAAGGACAATTTGGGGAATTACAGATGAGTCAACTTAACTTCAGTAGCCGGAAAGAGAATGGAGAAAATAAGTAAGCAATCAGTTTACAACTCCTAGAAGATAATAAGGTGATAAGTAACAGTCAGCATGGATTTGTCAAGAACAAATTGTGTCAAACCAACCTAATAGCTTTTTTTGACAAGCCTTGTGGATAGGGTGGTAACAAGCCTTGTGGGTAGGGGGAAGCGGTAGATGTGGTATATCTTGACTTTAGTAAGGCTTTTGATACTGTCTCGCATGACCTTCTCGTAAAAAAACTAGGAAAATACAACCTCGATGGAGCTACTATAAGGTGGGTGCATAATTGGTTGGAAAACTGTTCCCAGAGAGTAGTTATCAGTGGTTCACAATCAAACTGGAGGGGCAGATCAAGTGGGTCCCACAGGGTTCGGACCTGGGTCTGGTTCTTTTAAATATTGTCATCAGTGATTTAGATAATGGCATAGAGAGTACACTTATAAAGTTTGTGGACGATACCAAGCTGGGAGGGGTTGCAAGTGCTTTGGAGGATGGGATTAAAATTCAAAATGATCTGGACAAACTGGAGAAATCGTCTGAAGTAAATAGGATGAAATTCAATAAGGATAAATGCAAAGTACTCCACTTAGGAAGGAACAATCAGTTGCACACATACAAAATGGGAAATGACTGCCTAGGAAGGAGTACTGCAGAAAAGGATCTGGGGGTCATAATGGATCACAAGCTAAATATGAATCAATAGTGTAACACTATTGCAAAAAAGGCAAACATCAGTCTGGGATGTATTAGCAGCAGTGTTGTAAACAGGACATGAGAAGTAATTCTTCTGCTCTACTCTGTGCTGATTAGGCCTCAACTGGAGTATTGTGTCCAATTCTGGATGCAACATTTCAGGAAAGATGTGGACAAACTGGAGAAAGTCCAGAGAAGAGCAACAAAAATGATTAAAGGTCTAGAAAACATGACCTATGAGGGAAAATTGAAAAAAAAATGGGTTTGTTTAGTCTGGAGAAGAAAAGACTGAGGGGGACGGGATAACAGTTTTCAAGTACATAAAAATTTGTTACAAGGAGGAGGGTGAAAAACTGTTCTCCTTAACCTCTAAGGATAGGACAAGAAGCAATGGGCTTAAATTGCAGCAAGGGAGGTTTTGGTTGGACATTAGGAAAAACTTCTTAACTGTCAGGGTAGTTAAGCACTGGAATAAATTGTCAAAGGAGGTTGTAAAATCTCTGTTATTGGAGACTTTTAAGAGCAGGTTAGACAAACACCTGTCAGGGCTGGTCTATAATACTTACTCCTCCCTTGAGTGCAGGGGACTGGACTAGATCTCTACAGGTCCCTTTCAGTCCTACACTTCTATGATTCTAGGATATATGTCCACAAGGAAAACTTACTGTTGCCTGCGTCAGTGCATGTTCAGTACATCTTGTGGGGCTCAAACAAAGCACCCATTTATCAAATGAACAGGATTGATTAAAGACCCCATTTATGTTTTGAAAAAGACAAAAAATGGTACAAATGTGCCTTTATAATGTACGTTGTGCATGGTCACAGCCAGACCCTTGCATCTTTTACAACACTCCCAATTTGAAACTACAAAATGTAAAGGTGGTATTTTTTTTTTAACTTTACACACACCAGGGGGCTTATCCATAGGTGGTGTAAACTGACAGTATGCACCAGCAGAGGACTTGCCCCTAAGTGCTTCTGACTTTGACATTTGGGGACTGATTCTGCACCCATTGATGCTAGGGGGAGGAGGGTCAGGGCCTTAATTCATCCATTAGAGTGAATGGCAAGAATTAAATATCAGACCTGGCATATATTCCCTGGACATATAGGGCCAGATTTTAAGAAAAGTGCATATGGGATTGTGTTCACAAAAATTATTTGTATGTATATCCACAGTTATGCAGCAGTTACACTAATGTGCATGCAAATATAGTTATACAACTATTTGGTCATCTGCATGTGTAATTACCACAATTAGGCATACAACTTCTTGCATATCTTTGAGTGTACAACTGCACTTTGTTGAAAAATCAAAACCATAGTTCTTCCGATATATTGTGTTGAAAGGAAGTAAAAGGGTATATTTCCAAAAATGGCCTGGTTTTGTGCCTCAACAACTTCCATGCACAAAGAAATAATAGAATATATATACAGTAAGAGTCTGTTTTTTAAAGGTATTTAGGTACCTAAAGATTCAGACAGATGCCTAGTGGGATTTTCAAAAGCAGTTTCAATGGGAGTTAGGCACTTGTTAGCATTTTCAAAAGGGTGTTAGCAGGTTATATCTGCATCTGCATCTTCAGAAGCCTAACTTTGGAAATCCTGACTTAAATCCCTCTTGTTCATGAAAATTGAATGCAAATTTCCTTTGTATGTGAACATTGTGTCATTTGTGTGCAAAAGCAATATTGTGCAAAAACTGCATATACAACAGGGGCTGGTTTGAGGCCCTTTTGAATAATTAGCCCTGAAACCCAGTGGGCTCATAGGTGTAATGTTAAAAATATTAGACTCAGTTTCTAAAATTTCATTCTGGAGGTTTATGGGAGGAAGTGGGTTTAGTACCTTACTTTGATGCATGAATAATATAAAGAAACTCTTGATAAGGGCTTGAGGTGGGCACACATGGAAAACCATGGCTGATGCACAAGCAATTTAATATACCCCTTAGATATCATTTAAATCTCTTTTCCAGTTTTCCTTAAGATCCTTAGGGCTGGATCCAGTGTTAATTACACAGATAATACTTCCAGTGATATCATAAACACACTAATCTATCTCATGTAGATGTTGTGAGGAGTTAATTAGATAGTATCTGGCTTCAATGGGAGTTTTGACTGCATAAAGAGCCAGATCCAATGTGCAGATCCCACAGAAAGTGGCCCCCACGTCTGGTATAAGAAAGTAATTTGGCTCTGATCAATGCAAAAAGAGTAATCTGGCATAGTTCTCATGCCACTATACAAGAACGTCCTAATCGTTTAGTTCACAAATTGTCAAAAAAGAAAATGTTTGTGTCTGCGTGCCTTGAGAATGCCTGTTAACTTTTACACAGAATTCTTGGGCTAGGGCAAAATGCTTCAAGGCAAACGACTTTAAACTTTTACCAGGGTTTCGGATTCTGTCACTTCTCATTTCTCAACAGAAACCCAGTTGTCCCCTATAGGGATTCTTTGAAAGAGAAGTCCTATTATCTTGTTATTGAGGGAGGATTGCTTACTCTATTCCTCTCCTTTCATGCAGAAAGAAATACAGAATAACTATTGAGAGACGAAGTCAACAGGAAGAATGTAATGTGGGCAAGCATCGGCAGTTACGTGAAGACTCCATTAGATCTCATTTTTCTGCTGCGTAAAGAAGAAAAAAAATCCCATTCTTCCTGAAAAAAACTTTAGGGAAATGGACAAAACCAAAGACATCAGTGTAAAAGAAGAGGCTCTTGAAGAACTCATTCTTTAAGCAGTAGAGTCATTTTGTCTTAATTTCTTTCAGAAACTCAGGAATGATTTACTAATCACATTATGCCACATGGCCTTTCATCTCGTGGGGAAAAAAAAAGATAGTTTCACATTGTAGGACGTTAGTGTTTTGAGAGGGTATTTTCTAAGACATTTATTGAGGGAAGCAGTTTTGTGCTTAGGGCTGGGAATGCTTCTTCCTGACCCCTTCTTTTTAAACTCCTAGTGCTTCCTTTCTTAGCTGCATCACAAGCAAGGATATCAAAATGTGGTTTCAATGCTGCTTTGCCATTAAAATAAAAATGTCTTCATTATGGGCTTCCTGCATTATTGAAACCAATGGGCCACTTTGCCATGGACCTCAGTGGGTGCAGGATTAGACTGCTAGAGTTTAATCTCAGGAGTTGGCACTTGGGATGTAAATAACTATCGAGAAAGTAAAGAGGGTGGAAACACTCAAGTCATTTTTTCATTGCACGTACAGTATCAAAATCAAGACAGGGTATACAGAGACTGCATCTCTTCTCACTTATACTAGTGTAAGTCCAGAGTAGCTCCATTGCAGTCAGTGGAGTTTCACTGGTATGAAACATAAGCAAGGGGAGAAGCAGAACCCTAGAGTGGATTTGCTTTTTCTTCAGCCTGACATATGCTTTTATATTATAACAAAACATCCCAGAAGAGTTATCTTTCACTCTCTCCATCATCACCGCCTCTTAGAAAGGCTAGTGCAGTACCTAAAGAGCTGGCTTCTGCTCCCATTGAAGTCAACGGCAGAAGTCCCCCTGATTTCAGTGAGAGGAGGGTACGATCTAGACTCTGTAAATATTAATGATAGGGGAGTGTTTGTACAGTAACGGTAATTCAAAAGATTTTTTTTTTATAAAAATGACATTCCATGCTAGCATTTTATTTTTAGGTATCTTTATCTTGTATTTTTCTATTAGAAAATGTCTATTTTTGCTTTGGTAAGATTAAAAGTCAAGGTGAGAAGGTTTGAAGAAATATTTTTACAGTGTGAATAATGTGCACAGGAAGTCATTGATGTAAATAAAAGTTATTTTGGTTTATGAATATTAACCAGATTTTTTTCCCCTCCCTCTTCCCCAGGCATGTGCAGAATGCAAATAATTAATTAGCTAAACTAAAATGCAATTGATTAATTAGTTGTAAAATTGCCAAAAAATATTCAGATTGCAAATTTAGGCCCTAATCCTGCGGACACTTAACTTTACACACATTCAAGTCAATGAGACTGACTACTTACATGGGGAAAGTAAAGCATCTGCAGGATTGGGGCTTTAAGATGCTGCTGTGGGACCTGATCCAGATCCTGCTGCCATTGATATCTCTAGTAATTATCTCATTAATTTTATCATGGACTTCAATTGGAGCAGGATTGGCTCTGTTAAAAGTAGGTTATTTTATACTGTATATAGAAAAGTTCTTAACACTTTCTAGTCAGGAAATGTAGGTATTATTTAGAATGCCTGATTTGGAGAGTAACAGCTCTAAGAGTATTGTCTGAGAGAGCGAGAAAAATTACCAAGTTTGTGAATCCTTTGGTTTATCCTGGCAATTTTTCATATTAAGAAAACTTTTCTTTAACAGAGCCCTTAAAACTAGTCCCTAAGGCAGTGGTCCCCAAACTGTGGGCATACCCCCGGGGTGTGTGTGTGTGCAGAGGAACGTCTGGGGGCAGCACAGCAGGGCCCAAGCCAGCCCCTACTAGGAGGTGGGAAGGGAGCTCCATCCAGCCCCGCTCTGCCCCCAGTTCCGCTCCAGCCCCAGTTCCTGGCCACAGCTGACGCCCTGACTCCACTCCTGGCCCTGGCCACAGCTCTGCTCCTGCCCCCACTCTCAGCCGCTGGGCCCGGCTCCTGGCCCCAGCTGCGGCCCCCAGCCTGGCCACAACTCCGCTCCCGGGGCGGGCGCAGACACATTATATTACTGGTAAGGGGAAGGGTGCGAGAGGAAAAGTTTGGGGACCACTGCTCTAAGGGCCAGATTCTGCCATCATTTATACTAGTGTAAATCCAGAGAAAGTGCACCGAAGTAGCTTACAGTAAACAGAGAGCAGAATTTGGCCTGATTTGTTTTATTACAGCTTTCTATTTTTTCAGTGTGTGGACAGATTTTGCTGGTGTGTTTCATCTACTTTTTTCTAAAACACATATCTGGGCATGCAGTTTACTGCCTGCATTTGTGAACTTCTGTCAGATTCCTCAGGCATCGAGGCAGGGGCCCATTCTTGGAGCTGCTCTAGAGTAGATCAAAGCAGCTGGAAATGGTGGATTTGAGACCTTAAGGATTCCCTCTCATTGGGTAGCACAGAGTAAGGTAGAGGCTCTAATATGCCCCATTTCACAGCCTAGGTCTGCAGTGTGTGTCTGTTGAAAAAATGACATGGCCAATGCACCACTATAGCCACTAGAATGGCCCCTCTCAAGCCATGAACCACTGCGCTTGGCATAGGTTAGAGCAAAATTCACATTGCTCTAGAGCTGGCGGAAAAAAGTTGATCAATTTTTTGGAAAATTTCTAAAATGTTTTAGTTGAAACGGCTTTTGAAAATATTAGCCAAAAATTTTACTGGTTTCAAAATCATTTTGATTTATTTTTCACTTTTGGAAATATTCCATTTGGGTTTTTTCCGCTCTCCTTTTCTCTCCTTTTCTGTTTTGCTACTGAAAATAGGGGCAGGAAAAAAGCAAAAATTAAAACCACAATGTTTTTGTTGTAAACCAAGGGCAGTTTAAAATATTTTTTCACATTTGGTTTGCTGTGACGTACACGGGAGGCTGGTCTGCCCCCTCCCCCCCCCCCCCCCCACGCTGCCTCACAGATCAGAAACACAAAAGGTGGGCTCAAGCTGCGTTTGTCCTCATCACCTGGTCCTGTGCCAAGCACAGTTACGTCCAGGTAGAGGATCTGGGATAATTAACAGGACAATTTTTGATCACATGATCTTGTTTCAGCTAAATGGAATTGAGGAGAAAACAGAAAACGGTAATTAGAGAGTCACTGTGAGGCTGAAAAAAAAAAATCATGCAGCCCTGCTTTTAATCGCAATCCTAGATAGCATTGCCCAGGAAGTCTCACCAGCTGGGGCTCCTGTGGAGGACTGGCCACAGCTTAAAGCACCACAACCCACTTTATTCACTTCCAGAGGAGGCACCATAACATTGGGAGCATAGCAGACTGCTGTTGGAGGAATGCATGGAGCCTGTTTAGCTATTTTTTAAAAATCTCTGTTAGTAATAACACCCTTGGATTATTAAAAGTGAACAATTTTTTAACATTACATTTTACCATTGACGTGGTTTGTTTACTTTTTACATTTTCCTTAATTAGGACAAGGAAAATAGACTAGTCAGTCTCCCTATCTGGTTCTCCTGCAGTAGCTCAGTGCTTAGGCTTCAAATGCTGCAGGGCAATGTTTAAATTCAAACAAAAACATTGATTTTCAAATAAGTTTTTAAAGAATTCTTTGGATCTAAGGGGCTATAAAAGTAAATAAAATGTATTGTAAAATGTGGGTTTCACAGAAGCTTGTTTAACCAAAACCTATGTTTGTGGCTATGCATATTTCACACACATTCATATAACAACAACAAATCAACATATAAAGGCCACAAATGAGCCCAGCACTTTAGCACACAAACTTAAGCACATCCATAAGTGTTAAAGCGATATAGTTAATAGAGGACTCATACATGATTTTTTTTTTTTTGGTAGCAGTTAAAGATGTTGGGGAAAGCTCTGCCTTCAGATATATGCCTAACGCCCATTGGCTGTCTGAATATCTGCAGGCAGAGTTTAGGAGTACAGGAGCTTTTGTTTAAATGACACATTTCACATGAGAAAGTTGAAGTATTTGCACTGTGCACATCTCTGTTTATAGAAATATTAGGCAGAAAGGAGTTTAAATGGTGTGTGGTCTTATTTTCAGACATCTTCGAATACGGAATGAGAATGATCCCATAGACCATATGCAGGCCAAATTTCTGTTGAAGTCAATAGAAATGTTGCCAGTGAAAGATTTCAGGACTGGACCATCTGAAGGGGTTAACAAGTAGTGCCATGGGCTATGAGAGTGTTCTCTCCTCTTGGGAATCACAAGAAACCTATGCACTTCTTTTTGGCCTTAATTCAGTCTTAAATTTAGCATGTATGTGAAATGGAGACCATCCCTTTATATTTTACCCAGGTGGGTTAAAGGGGAGGCGGGTTTGGTGTTTTACAAGGATATTATTGGCTTTTCATCAGGAAAATAATATTGCCTTGACTTGGAGACTTTCTTGGATTAGTGTTTAATTATGAAATAACTGTGTAGATATATTTTTTAAAATCTAGAATTGCTTCTTCCAGAATGCACATTTCAAAATGCCTCTGACTGGTGTACACCACATTTAGACCCTACAAAAATGACTTAAAAGGTGCTGGACTAGAGTTCATTCAAAATTTCTCATTAACCACTAATGTTAATATTCTGCATCGATGGCAAAATACTCTGAAGAATCTGACACTGTTAAAGTTTATATGTTAAACTACAGCACATCAGATGTCTTTCGTGGATTCATTAGGTGCTGAAACTTCAGAAGGTTAAAAATCCTGACTCTGTGTAAACTGTTGCTTGGTGTTTCTGTTGTGTGAATGTTCCTACCAGACACTTGAGCAAGCAGAGGAAATGTACCTAATAGGGGATTTAAAAAAATCTTGTTTTAATTGTTAATTTCTTAATCTAAGCTGATCCGCACAAGGAATAACTGCACAATTCTCTCACACCGAAGTCTGTGACCATGGGTTTTACAAACATTAGGCCAGATCATCAGCTGACATTTATTGGCACAGCTACATTGACTTCAGTAGAGTTGCACTGATATTTACCAGCTGAAGATCTGGTTCATTTCTTTGACACCTTATCCCCTATGACCCACATGCATGGATGTTTCTCCATATAGTGTAGGAGGCGCCACTAAAAAAGCCAATGTAACAGTTACCACACAGTGGTATACGAGATCATTAAAGTTTTTCTTTGTATTTAGTACATATCTGGGGTGACTGTGAGGTAATGATTGGCAAGTGTTGACTGTTTAATGGCTTCTACTGTAGCAAAGAATTCAAGGAGTGGAAAGGTCTGTTGGGAATAGAGAATTAATACCTGCACAGTTGAGTTGAGGGAGAAAAGAAAGAAACTCAGGGACTGATTGTACGCCCATTGATGTGCTACTGACTTCAATGAGAGCAGGATCAAGCTCTTGCTTTCTGCACAGGATGCGGTCTATATTATTTTATACTTAAGCTCAGAGGACCAGCCCAAGGACTATTCACCAATTAAATCCCACTTAAGACCTCAAAATATGGCTTAAATTGAATTTAAGTGGCACATAGGACTTGGGCTGACCCTCTGCCCAGGGGTGACTCTCACCTCTAAAACTAAGTGCTTACCTAAATAAGAGTGTTTATTTTATTGAGCATGTCTAAAAATATAAAGCCTCAGGCATTGGGGCAGAATGCGGAGGGGAAGGTGATGGGATGGATTTGCTTTGTTCCTTGTGCCTAGTATGTAATTATCACGAAACCAAGAGGACTCAGGATAGAGACTGTGGAAGTTAACTTTGTCCCCTTTTTTGGGGTGATACTATTCATTATCAATGTAAAAATACTGGACAACACAGAAATGTAGTATCAGTCTAGTAGAAAACGAATGGAAAGCTGCACAGTATATTGTACTGATGTAAGTAGAACTATATGCATATAATGTGATTTTATTTATTGTTGTTTTTGTGTCAAGGAGAATGTGTATTCATGACTGTGGATATAACCTCTGTTTTATGTGTGTAATGTATTTCTTTCTTTTACAAGTTGGTCATTTAAAACATCTACATTCGTCAGTGCCCACTGATTTTAATTGTGTACATTTTTTGTAAACACATCAAGAAGGCAAGAATGTCACATATCCAGATTATAACAAAATGTTCCCATTAAAGAAATAGAAATCTGATAGTGTACATTTTCCTGCTCTGTTCTCATCACCTGTTGATTTTATTGTTGGTCTCTAATGTTTGGCGCCATCAGAGTATAGTGTGTTACTGATAAAAAGATTCTTCTGATTTTACTTTTAACACATCTAATGAAACCTTGATTTTAATAATGACTAGGGCTTATCAAAGGTGAAGTATTAAATAAATCCAGTAATTGATTACACTGGGAGTCATTTTAATTGACTCAGAAGAAAGATACCACAACTGTTTCAAAGTCCAAAAAAGGCTTTGAAAAATAAATGTAAAATGTTTGATACATTTCTTGGATTCTCCAATGAGATATAAAATAGAGTCCTGCTTATTTAAATCAACTGGCTATTCAACCTCTATGTGCAAATTCTTGCAGTCGGGCAAAACTTCCACTGAAGAATTTTTCCCAAGAATGGATTGCAGGATATGTATCAAATCTCTTACATTAGTGACTGTATCACTCTGACTAAAATTTCTGGGATTTTAAAATACAGTCATCAGGACATCCTGTGTCATTCCTGGTCTACAGCCTTTTGTAAACATACATTTGTATGTTGCATCAATGTTATGGTGCAATCCAAATTTAAGGCCAATTCTTGAAACCATACCAGTCTTTGATAACCTAAAACAACTTGAAAATGAATATGAGGAGTCAACATCTAATCCATGTTCACATCAAAATAAAAGACCTTGAGAATTTACAGGAGAGAAGGTTTAGATATGTCACAGCCAACAGAGTTACCAGGGCCATCACCAGGGTGGGCCGAGCAGGGCAGCCACCCAGGGCCCAAAGCTGTGGGCATGGAAAAATTATGAAAAAACAGTAAGGAGTGCAAATAGGCTTGTTCTCTCCAGGCGGTACAATGACTAGTTGTGACTCTGAGCGCAACCATAGAAGTGCAAGTCTACAGGCTAACAAGAAAAGGGTAAATGAAAGCAAAAAATATAGGCCCAACGAGGTCCAACAATTGAACACTTTGCACTATGTAGTATCTTTTATCCATGGATCTCCAAACAGGGCACTAATACTAATTCTTTCAGCACCCCTGTGACATTGATGCATATCATTCAATCAATTTATAGAGATGAGTAAACCCTAAGAAACAGAAAGCGTAGCACTGGGAAAGTTGCTTAACCTATGTATTCCACCCACCCATGTACCCACTTTAAAAAAAAAAGTGCACTTTTTTTTATATTTTATGTTTTGATCCCATTCAAGTCTGACATTTGTCATAAAAATTCCCAGAGGCCGCATAGCAATTTTGAGGCTGTTTTCTAAGAAAAAGCTATCCCAGGAGAAAAATGGGAATGCATTGTTCCCCTGCTCTGGTAAATCTCTTCTCACCTCAATCTATGATATGCCATTTTCTAGTTATTACCCAGTAGCCTAATTCCCCCAGTCTAGTGTCCTATCAATTTCAGGGGCTGCCAAGTGGTTCACTCTCCCCATACTTGCCAAGATCCCGGGGCTAACTATACCCTTTTCACTGGGCCCGGTGCTGTGATGATGATAACATTGAAAGGTCCTTTGGGGCTTTTCTACAATTCATGTCCCAGATTGTACTATGGGTAGTTAAAAGGGAATGGAAGGAAGGGAATGAGTGAGAAGTCCAGCATGTTCTCTTCTGACTCTTCCACCCCACACTTTGAGATGTGATGCATAAGAAAGGCCTCACTGAAGGATGTAGGTTTGGGATCATTTTGAGGGATGGTGTTTGGGGTGTAATACTACTTTAAACAAGCCAGTTTGTTTAAATTTCTATTTATAATTTCTCCGATGATCCTAACCAACTGCTTTGACCCCTTGGTGCGTAAAGTCTGAAATTGTCAACGAGAAATGCAAAGAGTCAAGTTGTTTTTACATAGTTCTATACTGGAGCTCTTTGAAGAGCTAGTAATGACATGGTTATACACTGGAAAGTCAGGGATTCAAAACTGGCCAGTACCCAACCACCTTGACACGATAAACACGAGGAGCAGGGCCTATTGCAAGGAGATGCGCAGCATGGGGAGAGTGGAAACTAGGCCTGAGACTCCCACAAGATTTAGAGAATTCAGATAAGCAGATGCATTTTTGGATGCTTAACTAGACTGAAATAAGCCTCTGAAGCCTTTGAGATTCACCCAACACCAGTTATAAATAGGATATTGGAATCATGACATTGAACAGATGAAAATGTAGACTGGTATCAGGAAAAATTGCAGAACAGTGTAGTCTACTAATCTCCCAAAGTTGGCGTATAGAATTTTTGTTGCTTCAGGTATTTAAAGCAAAAGCCTTTGAGACCACGCAGCAGGGGGAAATCCTGCAGCAGCAGGTGGGAATGCAAGATAATCTGATTGGTTATCATTTCCATCTCTGATTCCCCATTACTTATGGGCCAGGATACATTCAGAGGAAAGCTCCAAATTAGTGCTGGAGTTGAAAGCAGCCTGGATACTGACAGAGTGATCTGGGGGAAGCAGACAGGAAAAGGGAGACAGGGAAGAGAGGGATCTAATTTAACTAAAGCAAGCCACACACCATATAAAAATTTCCAGTTCCATTTGGGAAGAGAGCTGAGGTTCAAGCTAAGGAGGATTGGTTCACAAATCTCAGCCCAGAAACCCATAATTCCTTGAATATTTATAGGTGTGCACCACTAGGCAACAGCAAATATCTTAAAGGCCTCATTAACAATTCCCTTTTGTCAGATCCTGGAGCCTAAAGACATTAGGAGCTATTGACACTTCCAGGGCTCAATGTGCTGCTATATGTTCTCATCACCTGGGCCATGATTGGCCTGAAAATTCCCCTGTCCCTAACTGCAACTGGACCAACAGATTTCATCAGCACCAGCTAACATTGAGTTTCCCCACTCCTGAAGTTCCCCTTTCTGGGCCAAGGAAATAAATGAAGGATAAACAACATTTCCCAACCTTGAAAGTCTATGTGTGAGCAAGAGGAGGACCTGGATTTCCATCACACTATTTTTCATCGCTCGTTTTCACCTTCAGATCATTCTCTATTTTTCCCTCCTTCCCTCTCCTCCTCTGTGGTCCTCCCATGCTTCTCTCTCTCCCCTCTTCCTTCTAATTTTCCTCAGCTTTCTCTCTCTTTCTTCAAGGTATTTCTGATTTTCAAAAGGGTCAATCTAGGTGCTGTAGAACCCAGAAAGATGTCCTCACAGTACCTGCAGCCGAAGACAACCAAAACACAAGCTCTAATGGCCTCTTCTCTGTTTGGATTCACTGGAGTGGGAGTCAGGAAACCTGGATTTTATTCATGGTTCTGTCACTGACATGCTGCATGTTTCTCCCCACCTCTGTGTTTCTCCTTCCTCTGTCTGTCTTGTCTATTGTTATTGCAAGCTATTTGGGGGTAGATGGTGTCTTACACTATATCTTTGTACAATGCGGCTTCAGGATACTACTGTAATATAAATAACTACAAACTGTCTTCAATCCTTTTCAATGGCGGGGTATCTTAGCTTTACTCTGGATGGACGGGACCTTGAGAGACCATCTAGTCCATCGCCCGCCTCCCTCCCCTCCCCCCAGACTGAGGCAGGATCAAGGAAAGCTAGACCATCCCTGCAGGTGTTTGTCCAACCTGTTTTTAAAAACCTCCTATGATGGGGATTCCACAAGCTCCCTTGGAAACCTATTCCAGAGCTTAACTACCCTTATAGTTAAAAAGTTTTCCCTTATATCTAAAGAAATCTCCTTTGCTGCACTTTAAGCCCATTAGTTCTTGTCCTACCTTTAGTAGACATGGAGAACAACTGATCACTGTCCTCTTTAGGACAGCCCTTAACCTATCTGAAAACTTATTAGGTCCCCACTCAACCTTTTCTCAAAACTAAACATGCCCAGTTTTTTTAACCTGTCCTCCTAGGTCAGGTTTTCTAAACCTTTTAACATTTTTGTTGCTATCTTCTGGACTTTCCAATTTGTTCACATCTTTCTTAATGTGTGGCACCTAAAACTGGACACAGTATTCCAGCTAAGGTCTCCCCAATGCTGAGTAGAGTGGAAGCGTTACCTCCCATGTCTTGCATGCAACACTTCTGTTAACACACTCCAGAAAGATATTAGCCTTTTTTGCATCACACTGTTGACTCATTCAATCTGTGATCCACTATAACGTCTTATCATATGGATTATTTTCATGTACTCTTACTAGGAAGGTAAAATAAACCTCATTTGGGTATTCTGAACCTTTTTCCCCCGCAGATGTTGCTGCCTTCTCTCTGAACTCTGTCCCTTCAACCCTTGAGGAAAAATGAAAATCTACACTGCAATCTTGCAACCTTCAGCCATGCCCAGGCCCACCCATTGACAACTTGACCTTAAATAAAATGTATTGTCAAACATATGCTGTTATGAGTTCATGTCCAGCTAGAACATATTGTTCCTAACTTAGCAAACTTACACTATCAACAAGACAGTAGAGGGAGGAGGCAAAGACATGCCTTCACATTCCTCATAACATCTGTGCAACTCTTATTACCATATGGCTGTAAAATGTGAACTCATATGCTGTATGTTTCTTTTATTATCTTTAGAACTGCACCTCTATGCACAACCAACAAGGAAAGGTACATGGCAGACAAAAATTGTAAAAGTGTGATAATGGTTCCCTCTTTGTAAATGAAAAAAGGGATGCACAAAACAGTAACTAACCCACACACCACTGCAGTGACAATGAACAGCACCACCTCTCAGAGAATGTTATAACATTCTCAATGGCAGCTCCATTTTCCTTACAGAGTAAGCTCAGGTATTTGACAAAGCCCTTTCTTTTTCTAGTCTTGAGTTAGATATTCAGGTTGAATCACTATAAGTGATGGAAGTGGGGCAACACCCACTATTTCCACACATCAAAGTACCCTTGATCTGAAATATTTTCAGATGCTTTGGTGGAGATTTTGAACAGTGATGAGTTAAAGTTTGTGCAGCATTTTTTACATGTATGTTGGATGGCTCTGTTTCTGGTTGCCCAATTTGA